AATAAATAAGTTTTGAGATGAAAGAAAAGTTTGATTCCGCGCGCGTAGCACGCGGAAACCCAGGCAGGGTAAATCCCAGACAAAATAATACTGGTGGAGCAGAAATCGCGCGGCGCGACTTGGTGACTTCTCCCACTGCATAGGAAATGTCTGGTCGTGCAATGATTGATGCATACGTTCGTATCAAGTATCATATATATACAAACGAAAACAAATAAACAATCTAATGAATGAATTCGCACACAGTAAGATGACCTATCACAATTCTACTTGCAAATGTTCGACGTATTTCGCGACGTTACAGCAACTTTTCACAGTTCCCATTTATCATGTACATTAATGGCACCGAGACACCAACTGGTGCTAGCAAGTGTACTACAAGCACTGTATATAAATATGTACTTTTTCACTTCAACATTGCAAAAGAGAGTAACGTTCACAAAGAATTTCTCATTTCAAGGAGTTTCGAACATTTTAATTTGTCTTTTATGTCAATCAGATCTTTTTTTTGTTAGAAATACATTTTTTAACGTTGTCATACTTATTCCTATTTTCTGTCATACGATTTCCTATTTCTGTCATACGTTTTCCAATTTGCTGACATACGATTTCCCATTTTTTGTCATACGTTTCCACCCATTTTTGTCATACGTTTTCCCATTACTTTTTCGCACGCCAATGTCGTGAGTAAAAGTATTGTAATCACTCCAAAACCTAGGTACCCCAAAAAACCATTTTTCTATCCATTTTCGACACCAACAAGCACGATACAGTGGTTATTTTGCTATGTTAATGTGGGTGTGTCGTACCCTGTACGCTGTGCGCTGTACGCTGTACGCCGTACGCAAAAATTTGTTAGCACGATTGCTCAAATACCAGAATAGGAAATGAAATTCTGCAAGTACCAAACGTTTGTGCTTCGTTAGACTTGGAAACCATTAAACTTTCAGCCACCCCAGATGTACCCTAGGATACCCAGCCTATGAAAAACCTTTAAAAAATCGAACAACCTAGCACCCGCTAACCCACCTTTTTGGTATTTAATCAGTATGTTAGTTCCAAATTCCTTGAAAAATCGAACTTTTGTTCGGGAGGTACCCAAAATAGGCTCCCAGGTGGATTTTATCACTCCCACCCGATTTATTCCATCAAAATAATAGGGGCCCAGGAACAACCTAGCACCCGCTAGCCTACGTTTTTGGCATTAAATTGGTATGTTAGTTCAAAATTCCTTGAAAAATCGAACTTTTGTTCGGGATGTACCCAAAATAGGCTAAGCGTACAGCGCACAGCGTACAGGGTACGACACACCCACATTAACATAGCAAAATAACCACTGTATCGTGCTTTTTGGTGTCGAAAATGGATAGAAAAATGGTTTTTCGGGGTACCTAGGTTTTAGAAGTGATTACAATACTTTTACTCACAACATGGGCGTGCGAAAAAGTAACAACAAGAAACAACTACAGAGAAGGGAACTTATTTACAAAGTTTTTTGGGCCCACTTAATCCAAATATGGCATTAGTTTGTCCTGGCACGTCTAGTTTTCAAGATACGTTCATTGCGGTTTCCGTATCAGATTTGGCTTAAGTGGGCTAAAAAAAAACCTTGGAAATGAGTCTCCTCTTTTTGGGGGAAATTTTTCTTTGAAATTTGTTGCATAGTGTTAGTAGACCTCAATTCGTAAATTCCATAACTGAAAAATACCATAATTTTTAGAAAATTTAATAATTCCATAACTGAATTATACGTTGCAGTGCACGTGTCAGCTATTGGTAGATGAATGGTATAAAAGAGGCGCCACCGCATAGGGAAGACCAAACGAATTCAAAGTATCTCTTCTCAAATTATCATTGTGCAACAGGTTAAAACTCTGTTTCGTTGGCAAATTAAAATGAATCTACTACACGGTTTGTTTTTGGTGCTATTTATCGTTGAATTTTCGGTAAGTTTTTTCTATTCCTTCATCATTTTCATGTTCATCCAATAAAATACGATATTTCTGTAGAATTGAAAGTGAGCACGAAATTTCTTTTTCTAGGAACTTCAAGGAAAACGTAAGACAAATTTTGTTTTCGTACACGCTTTTACTCATTCCAAGAGATTTTTCATTTTAAAATTTCAACTCTTTCTTCCAATGAACAGATGGCTTTTTCTCGCAAGCTCTTCTCAAGGGCGAAGTAATTGAAAACATGTCACAGGCAAAGTTTATAGCTGGAATCTATGCCCCTAAAAGTAAGTCAGCTTTAGAATCAATTTTATTCTTTTTTCGTGTGAATTTTCGATTCAAATATTCTATCAATTTTGTGTGTTTTGATTTTTGCTTGTACTGAGACGAAACGATTTCATTACAGAATATTTGTATGCATTCAAAGACAAGTTAACTGATGCTGATAGAGAAACGGAGATTGTATGTACCGCATTTATTTTGTCAAAAACGGAAATTATCACGAATGCCCATTGTGTGGCTGGCGCTCCATATGCTTATGTGGTAGCTGGTACAAAATTTGTATCAGACGAAAATCAAAAAATCAAAATCAAAGTCAAAAAAGAGAACTTGGCATATCATCCTCATTTTGATCATTTAATTGTTGGTGCATTTGATATTGCCAAAGTTACACTGAAAACGCCGTTAGAATTCAGCGATACCGTTGGCAGTATCAAACTCGTGGACAAGGATTATAAATTGAATAACTCATCAGAAGTGGTCACTGTCTATGGGTATGGCGTGTTGAATCTACCAATGATATTGAGGCGTTGCGATGCGAACTATATATCTGACGTCGAACGGGCCAACACATTCGACCCAGTTCAGGCTTTGTACTTTACCACTGGCGAAGCTACGAACGATGGAGAAATTCTTACACCTGGTGATTCGGGTGGACCAGTCGTTTCAAAAACAAATGGCAAAATCGTGGGCATAAATGTGGGTACAAACGAAACAACAGGTGGCCGCGGAATGTTCCTTCCAATTACTCTATTCCTTGATTTTATTCATGACCCAAAGGTATCTAATCTCAATGCTCCAATTTTCATTTCAACAACGCGAACAAAATGTATTTTTGCATTTATTTCAGAGCGTGAAACCAATTCCACCTTCGCTTACACCTAACGAAGCTAAATTTATGGCCGATATAGCGGCACCGGGAAGTAAGTGTGCATTCGAAATTTGAGTTAAATTAATTTATTATGTGGTTTTTAACGTCACTTTTAATCTTCATATTCTTTTTCTTTCGACGGCGAAAGAGGAGATTTTTCATGTTTCATAAACCAATACTCATCCTGAGATATTTTTCTATTACAGAATTTCTTACTGCCTTCAAAGACTCATATGCCGATGCCGACGAAGATGTTCAAATACAATTTAATGCAATCATTTTGTCGGAAACCGAGATTTTGACCTGTGCAGATCATGTGCATGGCGCCCCATATGTCTATGTAACCGTTAATAAACTATCAAGAAATCCGACAGAACTTAAAGTCACTGAAGACCAGATAGAAATTCATGAGAAATATGCATTGTCGGGATTAACATTTAACGTTGCCAAGATTACACTTAAAGAACCGTTGGAGTTCAACGACAACGTCGGCAGCATCGATTTGGTGGACAAAGATTACAAATTGAATGACCCGTCTGAAATAGTCTCTGTCTATGGTGATATGATATTGGATGGAACACAGAGAACGAGACGTTTTGATATAAAGTATTTGAATAGTGGCATTTGCAAATCGAAATTGGGCGACCAATTTGATGCAAATCATTTGATGTGTTTTAATTCTGTTGAAAGTAAGGGATATCTCTGTACGTTTGGAGGACCAATGGTTTCGAAAAAGAATAACAAACTCGTGGGCATGACCATAGATGATTTATCTGATAATTCAGTTATTTTTCAACCGATTGCACCGTTGCTCGATTGGATCCGGAAGCCAAAGGTGGGTCGTAATCAAAGAAGAAGAATGGCTTGAAAAATGGGTTTTAGGCGCCTGAAAAAGCTGAATACCGTCTCTTTTTTTGTTCCTGTCATTTGATGTTCAACAAAAGAACCGAATAAATTTGAAAATTTGAGAAAAATGCATTTTAGTTTCCATTCGCCCATGCGCAGTTACGTGATTATTTAAAGTAATTGCGATTTATATTACGGCTTGCAATGCACGTAAAAATTGCGCGTAAGTGTGAGCGAGATAGCATGAGTTTTGGGTATCCCAGTGAAAAGGTACTACGGAACTGGTGAAATGATGACTCAGTTTTATTCATAGCGTTTTGGAAGCGATGGACACATTATTTTTGCCGAATTCTGCTCGGAAATGCGAGTTCTGGCCATGTGTAGATTTTACCATATAAATCAATGTATAATTTTAGCCGCGCCGCGCCGTGCTTCGAGAATTTCATACAAACCTGCCATGTAGACGGTCCTAACACAGGCAAAAATCGAAAGAAGTTTTGAAAAAATGTTTTTAGATTCTAATAGAGTATTTTGTGTGCACCGTTTGTATTATCGGCACATCGAAATTCGCCCTCCTTACTACTTAATTTTCACTCCGAAATCAAGTCACAACCAAAACCACCATTAATATTAGTCATCATTCCAATGGACTTGGAAGTGTATCGTACATTTTTGCTTCAATTAAAGTGAAACACGATATCTATAATCAACAGATATTTCGCGATTCACTTTGAAGCGAACGGAATTCATGTTGCACTCTTGAAAAACAAGAATATTGTGATAAGCTTATCCATAAGTGGTTCAACTTCGGTCATTTTTATTCCCGACCACTCATATATACATGATAACTCTACATCACGCAAATATCTTCGAAATGAATTTGGAATATTTGGAATCGTTCGGTAATCTCGAATCGCAAGGAAATTTCTTGATCTTATCACTACTGATATGTCACTTATTTGCTGGTGGAAATTTTCGATCATTCAATATCCTCTACCACCCTGCATTCAATGATGCATTCGACGACCGTCTATTAGTTTCAATGGACTCGGGCTGTCCTTTTCAAATTCCAAAGACCATGCAAGATATCAACGAAACAATTCCAATCGATCGTCGGAGCCAACGAACGGACAATATTCTTCAATTGATATTCCTACCACAAGATCATTTGGTTGAGAATTTTAATCGAATTGAGAAACTACTCACCTATTATCGCATTTTCATATTTACAACATCTGAGCAACTTGATTTTGCGCAAATAAAATCCATTGCAAGCGCAAACCTAAGTTCAATTTCTGTGCTTTTAGTTTATAATACCTCAAGTGACACATTAAATGAATTCATTTTATCAAAGAGTTCAATACAGCCAGTGGAGACTTAATAATAGTCGATTGAAAACGGATCAAATATTCAACTCTGTGTTCAATGAAATTTTACGATGCAATATGTGAATCTTTGGGAATGGAACCAATGTTAGTGACCTTAAAATGGTTAAAGGTGCTTGCCAGTTTCTATTTCACACATTTGAAAATGAGTTTTATCGATGGCGGTGTCTACAATTGCAAAGTTGGTTCTGTAGTGCGTCACAAAATTCAACCAGTAAAGAGCTCATTTTACAGTGATATATTTATATATTATATATTATAGCCTTTGTTCCTTTGGAAATGTTTACCAAAGGTTATCATGGACCGTTTGCCATAGACTAATATCAAGCATTTCCATCTTGGTTGTATGACTGTTTTTTCGTTTTCATGTTCCTACTATTGTGAATACCGCATGATGTATGAAAAGAGCCAGGTTTTTAACGAGGCGAGAACTGATAGTTATGAAAAATTATCGCTACTAAATGTTTATTATTTTAAATATGTAACAGTCTTGCACTCTTTTCCGGCCAAACCTTAATCAAAAACCCACATTATATTCAGCCAGAGCTTGGCGGTGTTTATTAAAATAAAAAAAAATAAATAAAAAATATATGAACTACTGCCCCATGCTGAAAAGTTAGTGTGACATATTTATTTTCCGCGACTCTTTGAAGACATTTTTCAGTTAAATTTTATTTTATAATTTACAGGCATGCATTCGCTTCTGTACAAACAAATGAAAGTGGACTCATTTGAAGAGTTGGCACAGCGAGATGTTCCGTTTTATTTGTATAACCCTATGAGACAAGACTTGGATTATGTCACGGGTATTTTAAGGTAATTTATTATTTAGAGTGTGGACATAATGCCAAAAATGACGATTCAGATTTTACTATTGGGTCCCTAATTTATTCACTAATCTACATATTTGCAGTGATAAGCACAAAAAGAGGACACATTTAATGCTTCAAACCAACAATGTAATGGACATTAAACAAGTTGACAAAGACACAGGTAAAGCAGTTGCATTCATGGTGCCGTCGCTTATAACCGAAGCGTATGCGGCAATGTTTAAAAAGAAAGGAAGAGACTACGATATCATTACAGAGATTTTGGGTAAATAAATTGTCAATCAAAAATTTTAAAAATTGTCTGTATATATCACTACTCATTTCGGTGTATAAGAATTTCTTCGCATCCAAAGAACTATGAAATTTTCTCTGGCAGTTTTTAGCCGGGCAGAGTCTAGAAACGATCGATATAGAAAACAATTTGATGTTGAAGCAATTACCATCACAGAATTGTACTATCCTCTACTCATTTATGTTTGTATATTGATAAGTATCACTGTCATTTTCATTATTGAAACATATTTGTCACGTATTCGCTCGGTTCAAGTGGTGCCGTCGAGCGTATTTAATAGACACATTTTGATATTTTTTATGTAATAGTATACATATAATCTTTTTCCAAGCAATGATTAAGTGGATAAAAACATCATGAGATGTGTAAATGGAATTTAATAACAAGATATGTGATTTCCACACAAATTGGGTACATTTTGCATTGTGTGATTAGTTTATTTCAAGGCTAAAATCTATTCTTCCCCTGGGTGGGCCATGCTAGGAAAACTGCAACCCCACAGACATTTTGAAATGGGCTTATTTTCGAGTAGACTGAGCCTACTAGGCTCCCATTCGAGCATTTGCTATATGGCGTTTTCGACTATAAGGGCCAAGATCTATCCGATGGCACATTTGTTATAAGTAATACGTCATTCAGTGATAACATCGAATGCACAAACAGACATAAACATTGTACGAAATTGAGGCGTTCAGTTTGTCATCATCGACTTTTCGGAATTTATTAAATCAGTTTAGTTACCCGTTGGAGCGAAGATTCGAAAAAATTCAGTCAGAAAGCAAATGTTTCATATCTCGTCTTTATTTTTATTCTTCATTTCTCGTAAACCTCTTGGTTTTTATATAATATTTGAAATAATTTCATTATAATCGATTTGTTATTTGGAATTTGTATTATTTGTTTGATTACACTATTTTCGAGTTCTTTTGACTATTGTCATCCACCGATAGAAATAGTTCCAACGAAAATAGTCGAAATAAAATGAGCGAATGCGATTAAATCCAACTCTAATGGAATTCGATACATTTCTTCTAAACTATGCCCAAATTTACATAAATTACATTGAATTATAAACTTTGTGGCTTAATACTGAGCCGATCGATGACGTACTGTGGCATGCAAAGTGTGGCATTAATTGGTTTAAGGCGTTTGTCGGCTTTCAGTAAGGATAAAGCGGCCAAGCCGAAGAGTGTATGGAAAATGTCGGGTAGATTGCCGGTACGATCACTGAAGCCACCAGTTTCGTTGTCCTGACAAGACAAGATGAACTGTTCGAGTTGATCAGCTTTAATCCATTGTAATCGGCCCATGATGGTCAGTGATGACAGAACCCACCAAGAGTAACAAACATCTGGTAGCTTCTCTGGACGCCCATTTAGACCACCGCTGGGCAGCTGACGCTCGCATAACCACCAGCATAGTTTTTCAGTATCAATACGATGCAGTTGCTGGGTTAATGACAGAAATCCAACGCAGCAATAAATCAAACCAGCATGGCTTTCGGCGTGAGGCTTTGAACCTGAGAAGTAAGGAATAGTTTTAAATTTATTCAAAGTCAAGTGATAGAAAGGTAACGGAATATTTACCAAATCCACCATCTGGATTGCAACAAGACATCACGAACTCAATTGCTTTTGGTAAATTGATCACATCCATTTTTTTCTGCAATAAAAGATGAGATTCGTTGACATAAACAGTGTTCATTACTTCAATAAACATAGTATATAGTTAAAATCAGATTTTTTTTCAAAAAATTCTAATCTTCTAAACAGTCAATAGCTGAGGTAGAAGCCATTGAACGAAATTAATTCAAGAATGAACTTTCTTTTTGATAAATTATCAATGATAAAACATTTAGTTACTTACAATCAGTGTCAAAATGGCCACAGCACAAAATGAGAATCGTGTATCAACTTCGCCCCATTTATCACCAAAGAAACTGCCATCTGGTTGTTGTAGTCCGCTCACATATTTGGCCACTGCTTCTAAGTCGATCTCATGCAAACGGTCATAAATACACAAAATCTGTTGAATAAATCCATGTTTAATTGAAAACTGCATTTTTTCCATCAGAAAACATCCGAAAATGTCATGCAACTACCCTACCTGAACAGCGCTCAGTGTGTACAAAACATGTGGATCATGGCCTTCACACGGTGAAATTCCCCCAGACACGGGACAATGGCATTTTTTGATAAATTCAACGATTGAATCTTGGTCAATTTTATCCAGATGGTCGGTGAGATCGAGCGCGGTAACTCCCCAGTAAATGCCAGACATTCGTAAAAATTCCGTCATGCAATATTCCTGTGCGAGAAAAAAAATACTCATTGCAAAAGTTGTCGTTTCATTGGTAGAAATATGGTGCTTACGTAGTCATTTTGATCGTTTCCATGGTTGGCAATGTATTCGATGTGTTTGTCAAACAAAAGAGTCTTTGGTCCCGGTGACAATTCGACGTCGTTTACGATAAAAGCCTGAAAATAATCCAAAATGTTAGAACAACATGCAAAAAATTGGCAGTGCAATTACCAATCAAACACAATGTTTGTGTCGCAACGAACACTTGGAGGTCAATTCAATCAACCGGAGCAATTTTGGTACATGCTCTGTGGGCTCACGCACAACAATTGCACCAAATACGACGAATTTCTTGTTTCAAACAAAAATTTCATCAACATTACTCACCATTATGTGGTACTTGCAAATAAAATCTGTTTTACAGCGTTCGAAAGAACATTAAAATAAATAAAATGCGAATAAAATCCAAATTTAACACCAACTGATTTGGATGCTGCCAAATGTAAGCATATACCGTTTGAATGCTACGATTCGTTCGAGACCGTTCAATTAAAAGAAATAAACTGAATCAATTAAATCAATTGAATGACACATTCGTACGCATTTTTACTGCAGCACTTAATACACTCTAGAACGATTTTTTTTACGTGAATTTGCGATAAACATGCAAATTGCCTGTATTGCTTGTCAAACGAAGTCGATGTGTCAGTACGACGGATGTGTGATGGTGTGCGTGTGTTTTCATTGGCCTCCAAATTGGATTGTGTCAAATCTCTGTCAAATGTTTATATTCCGTGGTTGGAGTGCGTTTGGAGTGTGACCTCTCATCTCATTTTGTATGGTTTTCGTTTTATGGTAAGAAAATACTCGAAATAGCATCTGAAAATGGTTATTAACTCAAATTTTTGCTCTTTTCCTGAACAAAATAAATAAAACACCAATTTACAAAAAAATATTTGTGGTTTTTTTTTAATTTCGGTTCGAGTTATCTTAACTAAACGTACCTCGACAGCCGAGGGTAAATGATAAACTTAAATGTAAACAATTGGCAAAAATGTTGTTTGATTATATTGAATTGATGATAATTATTCATCTAAAATTTCATGAAGAGATATAAAAAATTCGTTCAAGTCACAAAAAGAACTTAGAATTTAGAATTGCTGTCAGTCTGTAGCTATTTTTCTCTGATTTGCTGAAACGAAAGTGATCGATAGTCCTAAAAATGATGTGTAACTACGGCGAGCGAGATTTATTTGTTTGTTGTGGTTGTTTTAAGAATTACATCGAATGGTAACGTTGTTAAAAGTCTTTAAGCGGTTTGCTTAAGGAGTTTGTATTGGCTTCTTGAAAGATTTTTTAGCCTGGCAGTTTTTTTAGTTACTAATTGGCTGAAAAAAAGAGAAATATTTACTTGTGGTTAGAAGTGAAGATAACAAAATTATGTAGGAATTAAAACTAAATAATTTAAAATAGAAGAAAACAATTCGACGATGATATATATCAAATATATTTGTTAGGGGAACGAAATGAAAATATGAATAAATGAATGAATTGATAAGTCCTTCAATAGAGAGGATGAGGAGAAGATTACAAGAAAATAAAACCAGTGAAGAATTCAATGGAAAGATTTTTTGAACGATCTAATAAAAAAAAACTGTTATTTTCAACACTTACCACGACGGTGGTGGTGGTGCGACGACGTCCAGTTCGTTCGCCCGTTGATTTTGAGATCTTGACATCAACAGCGATATCCTTGATGCGCTTCAACGGCAAGTTTGTTTCGTGGTGCAAGCATTGCTTCTTCAATTCGATGTAAGTTGCCTCCGATGATTCACCATATGTCTGAAATCACCATTTCATATGTTAGGTTTTATTTATTACATTTTTATCTCATTGATAAAAGTTTGCATTTTTTATTCTCTATTTTTTCTCTTTTCTCTTTATTGCCTTTTATTGAATTGAATATTTTTAGTTCTGTGAAGCAAATTCGGTTAGCTTTGAATTGACTTCATGAACTTTAAACTATTAGACAGTTTACAGTCTATTGGAATTGATCAATTAAGGATTTTATAATTCGATATAAAAATTTTATTGTTCTTTCATGGAGCATTCTCTGCTCATAAATACTTGAAAAATAAAATAAAACACTTACATAATCCGTGAAATGAGCGATAGCATTACCTAGAACGAGGAAAAAGATCGACAAAAAAGTTAGAATCTTCTTTTAGTTATTTTCACCCAATCCTTATACTATTCTGGCATTACCAATTCGCATTTGCAAATTGAATGTGAAGAGTTTGCATTCATTGCTACGACCAACACATTGTACCCATGAAGTAATGGTGGTTTTATTCTCATCACGATGCACATTGACAACCAAAAAGAATAGACCATACTGAGCGATGCGGATGCACTGACGGAAATTCTTGCATTTAAATGTGTAATGCATGAGAAATTCATCGTCGTTACCTTGCAACCGGTGCTGGAATGAAAAGAGATAGAAAGTTGATGAAGTTAAAATGAAAATTAGTGATACGGAAAAGAAAAATGGAGTAAATGGAATCATTCAAGGTTTTCCAGGATTTAGAACAAAACGAAGAGACTTATCTTAAGGAATCGTCTAAGATTTTATGAGATTCGGGAAAAAAAACTGGGAGATTTTTCTTAATCGCAATCACCAAAGCCAAAATCAAAGCAATGGCTGTAGCTAAGTTAATCTACTAATAGAACAGTACTCTACTTTTTCTCTAATTTTAAATTAACTCCACATTTTTTCACGGTTTTTTACACGAATTTATCTTACCTCGGTCAAACGATCCTTGTGAAAAGTGCGAACATGGTTGAGCATACGGCAAATAGGCACTTTATCCTCGCAATTCCAGATGCGACAAGAAAAGAAACCACGTGGTTGAGGAGGACCACTTGTTGTTGGTTGCAACTCAAGTAGCAATTCTAGCAATGGATGAATCGAATAATCTAATTTAGGTTAAGAATGCTATTGGGATTTTTCCTGTTTTCAACACCATTATAAATCAATAAAAATAAAATAAAATAAATGTATTTGATGATTGCCGTACTCAAACTCCAATCAGAAGTATTGAGAAATATTTTTTTTAAATAAAATTGCCTGAAACATTAATTGATTATACCTGGCAGTGGCGACTCCGATCGTTGGCGTTGCCGGGGTGGTGAATCATGTAGATCAGACGTGGTTGGATCGCGTTTCGATGGCTTTGGAATGGATGCTACCAGTGTGGCGATGGCTTTTGTAAGTTTAGCATCGTCAATATCGTCGCCATCGCTGTCTTGTTCATTCGATACTTTGTTGGCATTTTGGTCGCTAGTGCCAGCTGTGTCTGTCTTATCTGTCTTCTTGATCATAACCGATGCCTTAAGTTGCTTCAGCTGTTTCACCATTTCTTCCAAAATGTAATTACGTGTACCGACAAATGCGCCACGGCACTGGGGACACTCGTTGTGATTGAGATTGCGATTGATTTTCTTTACACATCCTTCACATACCGAGTGTCCTTGGCTGCATTGCAAAATTCGCCCCTCGAACATTTCAAAGCACACGGGACACAACAATTGGTCACCAAACGAACCCTGTACCAAACCAAAAAAAAAATCATCATTATTCGACTGAACAGTTATCAACAATTATATTTTCGGTCAACATTTCATAATGTCTCCCATGAATTTCATTATTGTTCTTACCAATGGTGGCGACGACGACATTTTTATGGCTGCGTACAACCAATTGTAAAACACACCAAAGGTCGACTGTATCCAATGAATCGATTTGAATTATTGTGAGTGTCTCCGAACAATGTGCGGACTTTTCCACGTTTTTTTTTTATAATGAGGCGATGATGAAGACTATTCGCTCGTCTTGACACTTGATACAAAACGTGATGTGCTGGTGCAATTAGTGCAAACGATTGCTCTGTCGATATCACAACAATGGAATGTGTTTTGACAAAACAAAAAGAGAACGAGTGGAAGAATGTGTTTTCGGCCGACCGATATGAAGTTGACTCAGACACTTCTCGTTTGACACAACAAAACAACTGTCAACGTTTATCGACGATTCATAAGCGAAAAACGAAAACATTGTGAAGAAATTTTTGAGTTTTTGTGATGAAAATAAGAAAAAGTTTGTTGAATTGAAAACTTTATTGCAAAGAAATTACAGCTTTTGATCCAAAATGAACGACCCAAATAAAAGGATCGATGTGAATTTGTCGTCGGTGAGTATAAAATATACTAAACTATGTATCGCTGATAATTTGTATATTGTCGTGAATTGATGTAGATTTAGTAGCCTTTTGCTAATTTGTTCATTTTTTGTTCTGAAATGTGGACGCCATTGTCTATTGTCTATTTTGTCTCCAAAAATTTAGTTTTGTATCGAAAGGAGTGGAGTTTCCGAAAATTCAATCACAAAACTTGAATGATATTAAAATTTTCTTTCTCATTTCCAGTTGCTCAGTTTAAAAGCGGAATTGCTGCGAAAGCAGGTGGAAGTGAATCGATTCAAAAAGCCCAACACCTCCGACCCGTTTGCTGCTTTCATTTCGAAGCGTCATGCTTCGTCATCATCCAGCCGATCGCACAACAAGAAAAAGAATGAACAACCGCCTCCAAAGTCGAATGCTGAGAAGTCAGAAAATGAGAAGCGTGCAGATGAAGATTACGAAATGTTGGCAAAATCCAAGAAGATCCTTGAGGCCAAAGCAAAACTATACAACAAAATGACAAGTAGCGGTGGTTCATTGAATTCTGACGACACATGCTTAGTACGATTCAATCAGAAGAAGCAAGAGGAACGACAACCCGTCGATCATTCCAGTTCCGAATCAGAGAGTGATACCGAAGATCAAAGAGGTGGTTCCGATCACGATGACGACAAATGGACTGAATACACCGATTGCCTGGGCCGAACACGAAAATGCCTCAAAGAGGACTTGGAATTTTTCAAAAAGAAAGATCTTGACCTGACTGACGCAACCAGAAACCGAACCACACGTTCCGAAGAAAAAGAAACACCAAATGTACCACAAACACCGTGGTTCGTTGACACAAAAGGTATTTCAAGTGCTGATTTACCGCTTTACAAGCCGACAAATGATGACGATGTTATGAGTATGATTTCAAAGTCATCCAAAATGGAAGAGATGCGTGCTCAATGGGAGGAAAAAGAGCAGGACAATTTGAATCGTGAAAATATCCACTATCAGGACGTTTTATTTGACGAAGCACGAACGCACGGTGTCGGTTACTATGCATTCTCCGTGGATGCAGCGGAGCGTGAAAAGCAGCAGCAAGTTTTAGATGAACAACGGGAAAAGACATTGGAAGAGCAGAGAAAACGGGAAGAAGTGCGATTGGCCAGAGAAAGAATAGTCGCCGAGAGGGTGTTTGCAGCAAAAAATCGCCAACGAGCAAGACTTGGAATCGCTCCAATGTCAAGGGAGGAATTTGAAGCAGAGAAAAATAAAGGCAAAGTTGAGGAGAGTAAAGATGATCCGAAGCTGAAGAAGAAAGAGGAAAAAGAGCAGATAAAGAAGGAAAAATTGGAGAAAGAGCGCGAAGTCCAACGACAGAAACATCTTCGGCCATGGGATGAAGGCAAAGATAGTGTTCCGCGTCGACGTCCGTCGACATCGAGTGATGATGAACAATGGGAATACAAACCAGAGAAACCCGAACCAATGTCACAACAACAATGGAATGAACTGAAACGCACTGAGAGAAAGCCAGAGTTTGCACCTGTGATGGAAGAGGAACGGATTCAATCGTTTAATAGATTTACAACAAAAAAACCAAAGCCGATGAAACGGCGAAATGAAACCGCGTATGGGAATATGTTCAATGAACCGATTAAAAATGAAATGGATGGAGATGATTTCCCAGTTGAACAGGATGAATCGAATAAGAGAAGACGTGCCGAAATAGCTCCACCACCAACTTTCGATTACTATGGACCCACTTCGACAACGAAACCCAGAAGTCATGGCAATAACACAGATATTACCGCTTCAATCGAAGCTGGGCTCAAGTTTTTGCGAGAAAAATCCGACAAGATTGCACCTGGCTCGAAGCAGTCGTGGGTCGCTAATACTACGTATGAAGAATAGTCGAGTTTTTATTGGAATAAGCAAATAGTTGACTAACTCACAACTCATGAGTTTTGAGCGAAATTGAGTATATTTTTTTCAAAAATTAGGTTTTTGTATTAGGAAACTAGAACACAATCCTTGATTCGGATTTAGAAAACATTCTTCCGATTCCATCATTTTGTTATCGAAACAAAACAACATCAACAAAATTCGAAAACATGAAATGTTTCTGTAAATTCAAAAATATGATTGATCTGAAATTGCAAATAAATACACATTTTTTTACCTAGATAATTTACAATTGGTATGGATTTTATTTAATAGAAATTCTGAGTTCAGTGCATAGTTTTTTGGCATTTTGGCTAAATTTTCTCAACTAGTTCATGCATTTACTTTGATAGAATTAAACAATTTCAATTACATTTGCTATTTTTCTTCACTGAAAATTCGGTAAGTTTATGCTAGAATTTAACATTACTAAATGCTCTTACCCCACGAAATCCTGATCTATTTGGGAAGTTCTTTGGAACTCCTACTCATTTTTCTTGTCATTCTCAGCTGTCCCCTTACACGCCAACAACTCCTCAATGATGGTATTGAGCTTTTCTGTGAATGCCTCGAATGAAATGTGTTTACTGTTTATCCATATTCTTCATGTTCTTTTTTACGCTGCCACGGCCTTTGAACTAGTCCTTAAGCGGCTTTGAAATTGTTTGAGAAATGGGTTTGATTGATTTTTATTTGATAAGTTGATTGATGTTTTGAATGATTGATTTCTACTGAGTACTGACTAGCTTTGATTAGTAAAAAACATGAAAAAATACACAAATGTACCTTTAGTACATCCTTGGGGCGTACAGCGCCCGAGGCGATTTTTCATTACAAATAAAAGTATTTAAAACCAAAAGAATCACCATGAGTGTAGTATTCGATAGCTTGAACCTTTGGCTACACACCAGTGAATTTTCATGTTCATATGTGTAAGCATGTATGAGACATTGCCTCTCACAACACATGTGCGCCGTACGTTCTTTGAGGTGTACAATGCCCCAAGTATATTTTTTCATGAAAACTGGACTGTAGAGATAACGATTTGATGTCCCCGGCAAATTTGTAGTACTCAAGGTCCTCTATAACTTTGCTGAAAATAGATATCGCCTATCACTTATCAGTTCCGCGGAATACGCGAACATTTGGTTTCCCATTTTCACGGAAAAAAATCATCATAAATAATTAAATATGCTACCATCATTATTTCTACAAAACTCAACAGATGGCGTTAGGGTCTTGCATTTGTCTTTTGGACAAATATCATTTATCTCTTATCAGTTACGCGGAATCCGCGGAAAACGCGAGATTTCTCTTATCATTTTCCCACCGATTTGATATGAGTTAACGAAATGATGTCTTCAGCAAAGTTGTACAGCAGGTTAAGAACTACAATTTTTCCGAAGTCATCATTCCGTTATCTCTTATCAGTTAGGCGGAAAATGATAAGAAATTTTTTTCGTTTTTCGCGTAACTGATAAGAGATACCAAAATGGTGTCATTGATTATATTGTAGTAATCAACCTGCTCTATAACTTTGCCGAAGACAAATATCAGTTATCTCAAGAGGTAAGATTTACAGTTGGGCAAATTTTTTTTTAATCAAAAACCCCATATGGTGGGAGACCTTTCGCGGTTTTTCTCGTATATTGGGTAATCGATAAGAGATAACGAATTGGTGTCTTGGACGGGTCAAGTACTACAACTTTGCCGAAGACACCAAGTCGTTATCTCTTATCAGTAAAGCTTAAAACCACGAAAAGCGCGATTTTTTATCTTATCATTTTTGGCGTAACTGATAAGTGATAACGAAATGATGTCTTCGGAAAAATTGTAGTTCTCAAAAGGCTCTACATTTTTGCCAAAAAAAAACCATTTTGTTATCTCTTATCAGTTTCGTGAAAAATGATAAGAGAAATCTCGCGTTTTCCGCGGATTCCGCGTAACTGATAAGAGATAATGACTTGATGTCTTTGGCAAAGTAGTGCTCAAGGTTCCCTACAACTTCACCGGAAATACCATATATTTTATCTCATATCACAGTCCAGTTTTCATAAAAAATGTGCTACGGGCACTGTACGCCCCAATACACAGGAATGTGGTGTGAGACACATACACGGAGTGAAGGTTGATAAACTCTAGAACGATTTTTTTATGTGAATTTTGCGATAAACATGCAAATTGTTGAATGTTTTATGTTGTGCGTGTGTTTTTATTTGTTTCAATTGAATTGTGTCAAATCTCTGTCAAATGTTTATATTCCGTGGTTGGAGTGCGTTCGGAATGTGACATTTCATCTCATTTTGAATGGTTTCCTTTTTATGTTAGAAAAATACTCGAAATAGCATCTGAAATAAACAAATCTTTCCCAAAAATTTTATTAACTTTAATTTGTGTTCTTTTCCTGAACAAATAAATAAAACATCAATTTACAAAAAAAAGATTTGTGGATTTTTTTTGGTTTCGGTTTGAGATTTCTCAACTAAACGTACATCGACCGCCGAGAGTAAATCATAAACTTAAATGTAAACAATTGGCAAAAACAATTGGCAAAAAGGATGTTTGATAGTACTGAATTGATGATCATTTTTCATCTAAAATTTCATAAAGAGATATATAATTCGTTCAAGTCACAAAAAGAACTTGGAATTTAGAATTGCTGTCAGCCGGTAGCTGTATCTCATTTTCATGCAACGTTGATAAAATTAAACATTTTCAATAACATTTGCTTTTTTTTTACTCAAAATTCGCTAAGTTTATACTAGAATTTAACATTACTAAATGCTCGGTAAGTTCCACGAAATTCTAATCTATTTTGGAAGTGCTCTAAAACTCCTATTCATTTTTCTTGCCATTCTCAGCTGCCCCTTTACACGCCAACAACTCCCCAATAATGGTGTTGAGTTTTTCTGTGAATGCCTCGAATGAAAAGTGTTGTTGCACTCTCTTCCGTCCTTTTTCGCCCATATTTTCGCCCAAGTTTTTGTCACCTATCACAAAACGTGCCATTGATCGACTGAAATATTCTTTGGCTGGTTCACACAAGAAACCCGTTGATTCGTGGACAACCTGTGAATAGATCAAAAACAAATTCGGTTATTTTCGGAATTCAGAATGGAATTATTATCAAAATTTATTATTTTTCCTACCGTTTCCGTTGGTCCTCCGGTATTGCAAGCAATCACTGGTTTCTTCATGTACATGGCCTCAATTGGGACAATGCCAAAGTGCTCATTGGACGGTGTATACAGAAGTGTGTCGCATCTTTTCAGCAGCCACAGCTTAAATTTATCACTCGGTGATCTCAAAAACGTGCACTTATTCATGATGCCCAATTCATCGGCCAAATGCTCCAATTCCTCAAAGTGTTCGACATTCTCAAGGACACGTTTATCGTATCCACCGGCCACAATGATGTGACATCGTTCAAAGTTTGCTTTCGAAACATGTTTCTCCAGTTCTTTGAATGCTTTCAACGCCAATGCAATGTTTTTCTTCCTCTCGAATCGATTTATCGATAAAAATACCACCGAATCACTTTTCAACTTCAAATTATCCCCATCCGCATCGATAACAATGGTATTATCAAAGTATTTTGTATTCAGCGATGGATATAGAACGGCTGGCATATCGCTGATACGTTTGAATGTTTCTTTAAAGACTCGTCGTGTGAATTTGCTGTTGACTAAAATGACGTCGGCTTTGCCGGTCGTGAATTCCTCGGCCCAGTTCAATGGGAATCGATACCATTTCCGAATAGCACCACCGTCTTGAGGCGCCATCAGCATATCGGGAAAGTGACAGTAGAAAAGGATCTTCGGTGAACCAGTAGCAAGTTTCAAAAATGGAATGCCAATCGATATTGAGTCGACAAAAATTACGTCAAAGTTCTCTTCACGTGATAAAACAAAGGTCGTGTACAGTGTAGCGTACAGCATTCGAATGTAAGCACAAAGAGCCGTAAATTTGTTAAATATCGATCGAGGCAACCAATCACCAACTGTTTGCACCTTAAGTGTTCCGTCACGAGTTTCCTCAAAACAATGAGTTGGATCATGATGATTTACAAGGAACTGAATCGAATGACCACTTTTTTGTAGAGCCAAAGCTGCATCCACTACTAATCGTTCCGCACCGCCGATTCCCAGGTCCGGGTGCATAAATAATATTTTAACCATGGCGGAGGAAGTTTAATTCTAGATGAAATTGGGAGAAAGATAAGAAAAAATTGAATAGGTTTGGACAAACATTCATGTGTTCTGATGAAAAATTAGAATTTACGATTAATTTTTTCAACTTTTTTCGTTTTGAAAAAGTACACTGTTTCAATTTGTTCAAAAAGGATCTTTTCATAAGGAAGAAACTCTCCTTTTTCGTAATAAAAGAAGTTTTTTTCTCGAACGAAATCAATACCTTTTAGCTTAAACAAACACAAAATACGGCTTTGAATAACGCTGGAATACAAAATAAATAAACCTTGAATGGGAAATTTCGAAAAAATAAACTTGAACTCTTCGTTTCACATAGAATGCGTTGCGAGATAAAGAGATTTAATTGAATTAATCAAACATTGCATCTGATTGAATCAGAAAAAGAGACACATTGCAGACGTATTTTCATTAAATGCCGCAATTGACACATCAGTAACAAAGCAATTGACATTTCGATGCAGATCTACCACAATTTTTACAGTAGCACACTTCATTTCTAGCAGTGCCGTCGAGCCCGTGAAGCAGTCCAAGCTGCTATAAACGAATTGCTATGAATCATCTTCAGATGGCTCTGTGTCATTCGACTAGAAATTTCACAATATTTCGTAAATAATCGAAATGTGTTTCATATTTACGTCAGAAAAATGTTGTCTGAAATGACCATTAAAGGAGAATATAATTTTTTTTTAATAATTTATTTATCATAGAAAATGTTACTGAACTTTGCTTCTGATTTGTAAATGATTACCAGAAAATTATCAAAATTCATATCAAACCTCTCGAAATATAACGTATTTTCTCGAAAGAAATGTGACTTCATATATATTCATGTGCCCTAGCACTGTCATATACACACGTACAGTGATTTCTCCATCGGACATTGTGAAACGAGTTTATTTCTACGACGCAATTTGCCTCGTTTATACGTAATGCAACCGAACCGAAAAAAAACACGAGCGAAATTTGTTTACCGAAATAAGGCAAACAAAGCAGATGACAGAGACAGCAAATCTACAACACAACACAGGACTGAAAGAGAACCAGTTTGTTCGGCAAACACTGTTCGCTGTTCTTATTGGTGTGTATGTGCGTACGTTATCCCCACCACAGCAAAAAGAACGGGCCGAATGTCTGAAAGTAGGCATTAAGTGAATGTAACGCTGTTCACATCGACCATACTCGTTTTGGCAGAGTCACGTAGCAGCCATACCAACAATAAACTTACAAAATTTTCTACACACATTTACTTTGTGTTTTAGTTTTGGATTTTTATTCATCTGTTCAGTTCAGTAATATACCCAATAAAACGGCAGCCATTTTGAAAATAAATTCAATACAAAACCGCAGTTGAGGCAAGAAGCAACAAAAAATAAAAGAAAAAAGAAAACGAAACGAAAATAGAAATCCTGTAAAGTCAGTCAAAATTGTGAAAAATTTTCTAAAGTGCAGCCAAATTTAATAGCAAATAAATCGGCCAATCACTATTTTTTCTTTCTTTCTCAGTTGGAACAAAGCGATTTTAATTTCGTTCTATTGAATTTTTTTTTTTACGTAACTCACACACAAATACAATTTAAATTCATATACCAAAATTTCATCAAAGTGGTACAAAATTTTGAAATTCCAAATTACAAAAAAGTGAATAGAGTATAGTAAAAAAAAATAATCATTTTTATAATTACAACAACAATATTACAACGTAAAAAAAGGAACGTCCTTTGTTTCTAACACCCAAAACACAATATACGCATTTCAACGGGTTTTTTCGATCATCTAAAAGAACTGTGACTCAACGAATTGAGATCCCGTCAATTCGAGATCAATAGACTACAACCAATTGGACCTAAATTTTTTTTTAAACCAGAAATCAAACATTGTGGACACTTTTTTTTCTAAATAGTGAAAAAAAACTCATTATTATCCAGCGGAATATTAAAAGAAAACGAAACACAGTCGTTTGTTTGCCTTATATTTAAAAAAAAAAACAAAGTTTAGTACAATAAAAAAAAGAGGAAAAAGAAGCAGAAAGACCAGAAATATCCGACAGAAAAAAAACAACCATAAGTTTTAGTTCTCTCCGTCTGTGTTACAAAAATACGAAGAAGAAGAAGAAAAAGTTTGTCGCGCTGAAAAGGCATATATAAACAAGAACGATACACACATAAATAGATATAAAGAAATATTTCTTTTCCCCGAAAATATTCGTTTCGTTTGAGTGTGTCCGATCTCAATCATTCATCCAATACATTTCCGTGTATGCACCAAAGGCCCCCCTAAGCAAACCTCACATACATCTCACACACGCAGCAGCAGCAGCATTACGCAAAACGCCTTGCAGAGAGACAGAGAAAACAACACACAATTTTTGTACATCGCATCAACTGAACATACATTTTCTGAATAGAAAGTGGAACGACGATTTGTGCGAGTTAAAAGTAAACGAGATAGCAACACATAGAGAACGGCTTGCAGCAGTAACAGCAACCAGAGCATACAGTCATACGGTGAGTTCAATGAAATTTTTTCTTTCTTTTTTTCATTCTCATAAATTGAATACCATTTTTCAATATTGTATGATTCATGGAATTTAAGTAGGCTTTTGAGATGATTGATTCAAAAGAAAATTGCTCAAAGAAAATGATTGAACAAGAAATAAAATATGAAGAAAAAAAAGAATAGGGAAGAAAAAAGAAACCAAAAAAAAAGCATTTCCCTTCGTTCCAAGACGATTTAAAGAATTTCCCTCTGCATTCAGAACATTGTCTACTGCTTCGAATCCATAGGGAGAAAAGCCATTTTATTCGCGGAAATTTATTGCTTGCGTCGTTTTACTGGGCAAACCAGTCTTAGTGTGGAGTTCAGTGACGTCAAAAACTATTTTCCCTCAAGTCGCAACTCATTCACATTCGAGAGATTCTTGTTCTTTTGATGCAGCGTCAATTGACGCGGCGTGCATTTTTTTACATTAGAATTCACATATTTTACTTTTACTTCTAAATACTACATTCATCACAATGGAAACAAATAGCATTCTTGATTTTTTTTTCTCTTTCTCTCTCTCTCCTTATTTATAGCATCTGTAACAGAAGCGCTCTCCCGTTGCAAACCCCGATATATTTTTTTCCGTTGGCATATTCACACAGGCAACAGAAAAACCAACACCAATTCATCCGGCATATACTCAAGTCTCGCACGGCACACATATAGACTCGTTCAGATCTCTTTTGTATATTCTTTTTCACAATAATTGTTATTGTAAAAAAAAATTGTTACGTTTTGGTGTGATTTAAACAGAAACAAAGAAAAAAAATTTAACGAAAAAGTCGACGTCATAGACGTGCATTCGATCAAAAAATTAATTGCATCGGTTTTAATTTATCGACGGACACACGCGCGTGACACAGTGAGAGCAAACGTTGAACGTGTTAGAGACAGGATCATCGACGATTTAAAGAAGAAAATAGACGGAGAATTTTGTAAAAGGGTGTTGCTTAAATGCATCATCTATGGAAACGATCCGCAACAAAATCAACCAAATTCACACAATCACCACAAAAAGCCCAGTACATTCGACACAATAGCCGACGAGGCATTCAAAATACAGTCAAAAAAGAGATCTGTAGGCAACCTTTTGGCATATTTAATTACATTCGGACCGAGTGCAGCTGCGGACACACACTAGCACCTACATTCACCTATACGCTACCAACACAACAACGAAACAACAACAACTTGCCACACCGGACGCATCAGTCATAGTCGAACCTCCATAGCAATCGCATCTACAGAGACAGACAGCGAGATAGAGATAGATAGAAAGAGAGACAAAAGGGATAACAAAAACAGTGAAGAAATAATAAGGAATCGAAATTAACACCAATCAGTCATATCATCTTGTACAGTTGTGATCCAACTCACACTTTGCCTTCAATTGTCATCAACAAAATACACAGAAATTTCTGTTTCTTTTTTGTTGCTGTTTTTCGCCACAAGAAAACACACAAACGATTTACAAATCATATCGACAAGTGCGTGCTTCGATCAAGTGATACGACAATTTTTTTTAGACTCTGAATTTTCCGTTCGGCTTAACTAGAAGAAAAACAATTGGAACTTTTCAATTTCGGTTGTAAACTAGCTAACAAATCCAGTTTGTCCAAACGCGCCAACTAAATTACAATTTTGGTTAAAGACATCAGTTTTTAATTTTTTTCGCTCATCATTACACGAAATTTCGTCAAAGTTCAAGAGCTACAATGACCAATTCACAGAATCGAGCTACGCAAAAGGAAGGCCGGAACTCCGAAAGGTAAGCGTTTTTTTCTTGCTCTTCTTTTTTGTTTCTTTATTGTTTTTTTCTTGTGTTTATGAAGTGTTCACAAGGACTAATGGTGCAACTGGCCTTTTTCCGTCTCGCTCTGTCATTTCAATCTTTCAATCAAAACAATAATTTTTTGCTTTCAATGTGTTTGAAGAGATAAAAACACACACATTTAGCTATTTTCATCTTCGATCGTGTGATTCGTGTAATTTTTCAAATCGAATCGATTTGTTTCAATTTTTCACTTCGGAAGAAACAAATTTGTGTGGATTTATAAACGTTTGACTTCTTTACAACACGTCACTTCATGTTGCTACTGAAATATTTGCATCGCAAGTAATTCACACCTAAAAATTATTTAAATTTTCCAATGCAAATGAGCTGATGAATGATTTAAATGTCCAGAGCGTCTCGGAAATGCGGTCTGTGCCACATTTTTCCATCCTTTTTCGAAATAACTAGAATTTAGAATCTTTTCCAAAACCAGATTGGTTATGTGAACGAACCGAAAGTAGAAAAGAATGTTTGAAACTCGCTCCGAAATCTAGGAGTATTTTTAGATAGGGTATTGTCCCACATTTTATCTCGCTTCAAATCAATTTATGGTCATTGTCTTTTTCCCTTATCGACCAAAGCTTCACTAAAATGTTTTCAAAAGAGAAACCGTTTTGGAGGTATACATAGGGTTCGAAGAGATAAAATTGCTTGAAATATGCAAAAAAAAACAGAAATAAAAAGGAACCCAAACGTCTACCTTTTTTCAAAATGCCTCAGTAATAAGAAGCAAAAAGGGCTAAAAAATGTTCTCACCAGACGAAATGCCGATCTTTTGTCGAAGACAACCGAAAAAATACCCGATTAAAAATTTCGCAAAAAATTTGTCTTGTTCATGCAAATGCGTGTATTGTCGTGCAGACAACAATCGGCCCGTATATTTGCTCACAACACACACAAGTGCCGTTGCTTTCAAGCGATCACGAATGGAAAATTCCACTCATATATTTTTTCTGTTCATTTGATTTTGAGCACACAGTCATTAAGGCTTATCTGCTTAGGTTTGGCTCTATGTTTTTTTTTTTCGAAAATAGTTTTTTGTCATTAGGACAAGGTAGAGCCTCAGCTAAATCTAATCCTCTGAAAGTCGTAAAAAAAGAGTCCAGACGAGCGATAGAAATCCTCGAACTACCTGAACTCAGTTCCGGCTCAATGTCAGAAAATGCAATAAACGTTTTACGAACACTTTTTTTTATTGCACTAGTAAAATAAGTCCATTTTATGAAGCCCTTTGTTTGCAGCTGGGCTCATTTTCATATGCAAAACGATCGCATTTAGAAAGACTGGAGAAAAAATAGGGTTTGAGCGATGAATTTCCACGGAAAAGACATTCAACACCTAAGAAGAGTGAGAATCGTTAAACTATCCCCGAAACTGTGTAAATTGCCGCCATCATTCACAAAGGTGTCATATTTCGACATTTCCATTTCAAATTCCCTGTGATTTTGATTGCATGAGTGTTGAAAAGATAAACAACATTTGAAATCAATGACGTTCAAAACGAATGAACAAAAATAATCGTTGGTTGATAATGGAAAACATCAGTTGGTTTTATTGATTTAGTATGTGTTTGTTTTGTATATCGCTTCGAATCGATTGGCTTGTGTGTGTGTGTGTTTTTTTCCCTGTCGACGATTAATTTTGAACGCAAAAAACCCCAAAAGCAAACGTAGCGTTGAAGCAATTCAATAATACAAAACACTGAAGCGTAGACGTCGATTGGTGACGACAACGACAGTGTGCGAACGTAAGATTGCTGGATCGTGCAAATGAGAGAAAAAAAACACGATATTGTTCACTGCATAACAACAAAACTGAACATGGGCAAACGTGCTTTGTGTCGCGCATACGGGCTCTCTCATCACAGAAACCAGATGCATTAAATACGACGCAAAGGAAAGAAAAAAACGTGTTTTGTGTAATTTTCATCGCAAATAATTGGCGTTGTTATTCATTGCATGTGACAGAGAGCTAGGCATTTATAGCGCTTCTGTTGTTTTTTTATCCCTTTTTTTTGCGAGAGGGAAAAAAACAACAGACAAGCCTAAAAAGAAACCGAAACAGTTGGCAAAATAGAGACGAAGAGCAAGAGACGATTTGTGAAAGTGCATGAAACGAAGCCTCACACAATTGAGCGCACACACAGCTCAAACTATGGATTTAGCAAAGCCACAACACAATATGTAAAGCGAACACACACCGAAGAGATAGATAGCGAAACAAAGCAGTACGCATAGATTTATTTGCCATTCACCCGACCTTTAGTTTCAATGAGTGTGCGATTATTATTATTTTTGCACAAACAATCAAATCTGCTCTTTTTTTTGAATGTTGTCCGTCCATACGTTCTTTGTACACGGTGAGACAGAGAGAGACAAAGCACGTATTTGCGTCGTTCTTCTTTCTGTTTGTCGTTGTCGTCGTCGTCGTTGTTGTCGTTCTCTCGCTTACCTCAAAAATAAACAAAATATGTTTCTCTCGTTCTCGTTCACATTTGAGACCACGTATTATAATAATGCGTACACAGTTATTTGGATTCGGTTTTCTGTACTTTGTAAACTGACTCCATTTTTTTTTCGCTCTGTACGATTTGTTTTTCGAGCAATCCTTGTGCTTAAAACGTATAGAAGGTCTTTTCAATACCATTCGAAAAATGAAATAGCGCAGCAAAGACGACAAAAAAAACGGCAGTAGCAATTACAACAACAACAACAACACATTCCCGCAGTGAGTGTGTTCCATGAGGAAGATGACGTTGAATGGCGTTGTGCTTTTTTTTTCTCTCTTTCTATTATTGCCCAGAATACGTGACATTGTTGTGCGCCGTTTATTCACCAGGCAAATCGGTTGATGTTATTTTTAACAAGCATTCGAACATATTCCCTTTGTTTGCGATTGCCGGGACTTGATTTTGTACGCAAGTCAGGTAGAACACACCAACATACACACACATACACGCAGTGCATTTGTATGGGTGTGCTATTAGTCGATTGCGCGATTCGGGCAGCGCATTCCAAAATATTTACACTTTCCATATCCTCCATCCATCCAGATGATTTAGATATTTCCGTGTGTATGTTCGGGTTGCTGTTGCCAACTCGGAACAACATTTCGAATCAAAAATCAATACACACAGTCTCGGCAACTGAACCCATTGAAACAACAACAATAACATGAAAATATCATGAAATATTATGCCCTTCGACCAATGGAAATCGCTCAATCGGTTTGCGTGTTCTTTTCAACACACAATTTTCAATGCCGACTTTAATGTTTCATATGACACGGCTCGCATTATTAATGACAAATCTACAAGAATTTGAAGCGGAATAAATAGCATTTGTTTCTCTCAATTTGCAAAAATGAATGAGTAAAAAAAATAAATAAATGTCAATGTATCTTCTCTCCGAATGTCCCGTTGTCGTCGATATTTATTTGGCTGTGGTTACGCAAAATTCACAGCACTTTATTAAAAACCAAGAGAATTTTCAGTGGTTTCGAACGTGATATCTATCATAAGCCATAAAAAAAAATATGCCGCCGTTATCGAAGGAGTCGAACGTGACTATAAAAAGATCGCCTCAAAGCGAAACAAACAGCGTAAATGAATTTGTAAAATTTACGACTTGTTTTCGTTCACTCTTCTTTTTCACGGATTTTGTGTGTGTGTTTTTTTTTCTTTTCATTCCGTTCGCACGGATTTTCATGTGTGTATATTTGTATTTTGAAGGCGATAGCACGCGCAATTACAATTCATTCAATTTTATTTACGGTTGACTTCAACAAGAAACAACCGAAAACAACAACGAAAGAAAATCGATTTTCGTTGTCACGCTATTTTAAGTAGTCGGTGGCTAAAGCGGCCATTTTTGTCGATAGAGTGTAATGAACGGCTGAGCGAACCAACACATACCGATGAAAACGGTTGTTTTCACACATTTGGACGTAAATAAATGAAAGAATTTGCTACATTTTTACGCCGTGGCGTACGTGCTTTGGCAAAAATATTTTTGTTGTATTTTTTTGTTTATTCTGAAATTCATTTTTTTTTTTTGTCAGCTGGCTTCTGTTTTATCAAGCTTGATTTCATCAGTTTTGTGTCATCGTTCTATAACGTCATTAGAATCCCACCGTTTTTTTTATCCATTCGATCACTGTTTTGAAAACAGATTTCTCTTGAGTTTTTAATAATCTAATTCACGTAAGGAAAATAAAGAAATACGTCGTTATGGTCGTCATTCCATTTCCTTTTCGAACATTTTACTTTAATGAAATGTGGGCATTCAGCGTGAAAAAATCTGACTTATTTTTTTAAATCGATGAATCAGCTATTTTCAGTTGGAATAATTGGATTTAAATGGATTTTTTTTTTCTAAAAAAAAACCTTTCAAGTGAATAGCCCGTGAGTGAGTGGACATTTATGTAAATCAACTTTGCATACATGAATGCGAGATTTTCCAATTTTTGAAGTTTTTACTCGGTGCTAAGTTTTCGGAGTGATTTCAAATCATTTTCTTTACTTTTGGTCAAAGTTTTCGAGACATTTTCAAAGGCATTGACCGAAATAATGTAGAATAGTCATGAATTAGATTAGTTCAGTTCTGAACGGCAAGGCTTGCTAGGCAAGCTGCTATCATTCTTAAAAATCTTAAGCAAAATTCCATTCACAGAAAATTTAATCATTTTCCTCCGTTCATTTTACTCTCCACAGGAATAATGCGAGCCCAAATCACCAGAAAAATGCGAGCCAAAATGGTGGCAACAATGGTCGAAAGGTGACATTTTTCAACGATAACAATAAGGGTAACAACAATAGCAACCCGAACAAGGGATACTATGCACAGAAGCACTCGAGCAGTGCGCCGCAACAGTATTTCTCGACATCGCCCAAAGATATCGTTACACCGCCGAATCATGGGAAAAATCGCCAATATCAACAGCGTAATCACAATGGCAGTCCGCATGGTTTAACGGGTCGCAGTCCACCACGGTCACCAATATCGTTTGCATCACCGGCCGGTGTATCGACAACTACACCGAATTTGCATTTTGCTGGCAGCAAATATTTTGATGCACCATCACCGAATGCCCTTCCACAGCCACCCTGTCATTGGACGTCCACATCATCATCATCATCATCATCCACATCCACATCGCCACCACTATTATCCACATTGCTTCAAACCGTTGAATCGGCCACATCCAAACGCCGGTTGTTTCCAAATGACACCAGTAATCAAAAGTGTTCGTTGATGGCTGCTGAAGCGGCTAGCAAAAATCTTTGCAGTGATATTTTTTCGCACAATTTAAAATTACTTTTAAATGTTCAGGCCTGAATCGGAGCGAAACCACCATCACCACCACAACAACAAGAACATGAACACTGGACGACCGTGCAACCAAAACACAAAATACAACTTCTATTTTAGAGAAAAAAAAAACAAAACTGACCTGATTTTAATCTTTAACGGAACTGGATTTTTGAAACGAGTTTAAAATAAGATGATAGGAAACAGCATAAATGGCATACAGATATGGATTCAAGGACCTCCTGCATCTCGAAACCATAATTCGACCGACAACAAATTTTGTGCAGCCACCAACCAATAACCATCAGAATCAGCAAAAGATGAACAATAGCCACAATTTGATGATTACATGCAAATCATTTGCCCACCTTCAGCTTCAAATCGAACCAACAGGAAATCACAGAAACACAACACAAAGGTACTTCATAGGCATAATTTCAAAACAGTTTTAAAACAAAAACATACATTTAAATCAAAACAACATCGTTTAGCCCAAAGATTTTGAGAATACAGAAAAAAATCGTAAAATTACAAGAATGAACTAAAACAGAGATATAGACAGTTAGATAAAAAAAAAACAAAGCAAAGATGAAGAGGATGAATGAGAATAAGAAGAAGAAAAAAAGTGATGATGATTTCGATACAAACTGAACTGATTATTTCGTTTTTATAACGTTAATTGTAATTTCTTGCGACGAATCGAAATCCAGTTTTTTTCCCCTTTCTTTTCATGTACAAAATACAAAACAAACATAGACAGTTAATAGATACAATTTAAACATATTCGCTTATCACCATTGTACAAAAGGAAAACAAATGAAAACCAGTTCGCACACACACACACCATATTTAATTAGATACCTTCTCTTCTTTTTTGTGTTTTTTCCACTCATCAATCATCAAATTCTCTCAATGCACCCCACACACAGAGCAGTTTTACAGTCCACACACAGACATACTCATTGCATGCAAAATCCTGATGAATGAACATACAGCGGCTTTAGTCACTCACTCACAATCAATCAATTCATTGAGCAGAGGCTGGAAAAGAAACAGAAAAAAAACCAAAACAAATTCATTGGGCAACGAAAAGACGGACGAAGTTCAATCGACAATAGCCGTTCATATTCAATCGATTCAAGCCAATTTCGTCCACAATCAAAATCAAATCAAACGGCCATCTTTTCCATTCAACGTTCTCTTTTAGGCCAGTGGATCAAAACTGAAGCGGAAAAAAAGAAACATTTTGATGAGAAAAAAAATCTTGAAAATTGATACACCTTTTGACCTAGTGAAATACTTGAATTGTTCCTTTTGAAAAGCAATCTTCCAAGTGAAACCGAATCACTTTTATTACATTTACTTGAAATAACTGAAAAACTGTTTAAATGTTCAAAATCGAAATGTATCCCTCTATACGAAAAGAACGGGAAAATTATTAAATTTCTTCTTTTTTTTAGAAATATGCCAAATTCAATGATGCAAATGAGAACAAAACGTTGCTAAAAAAAACGATGAACAAATAAAATTGTTGAAATTAAAATATAAACGGCAATAGCGGATTGGTCGATGGGGAATTTTTGGCGATTTTGACGATATGACCGGATTCCAATTGAAAGATACTTATTGACATTATTTTACTTGAAAATCAATGATAAATTTTCAATTTTCCGTTCGGTTTCATTCAAATAATCTCTATGAATATCTTTTCCGTCGGCCGTCCAAATCCTTGACAGTTTCCGATCGGCCAAAATTACTTCGATTCGACCAAAACAAATGAGATTTCGACCATTTCAAAACCAATCGACTGTGGAAAATTTTTCCAAAAAAAATCACATCAATTCTAGTGAGTTGTCCCCGTAACTCTTGTCAAAGATTTTCCGCCGTTATAGTTTCACTTGATATTTATTCGGGAGAATAAATTAAAAAAAAGTGTCTTTATTTCACGCAGCGCGTTTTTCGTGGTGCTTTATAAGCATCACCAGGTTCAGTTGGCCAAAATCTTTGACGACAGTTTGTGCAGATCAGTTCTCTTCATTTTAGAGGCCAATCAATTCAGTCGTAATCAATTGAAACAGTTAAAATTGTGTAATGTATCTATGTCGATGGCGAGGCGTGAGAAATGTTCAAATTGCCCGTATCGCGGTATTCATTCAACTTTCAAACGCAAGCCACGAGTCTCGTGAACAAAAAAACCAACAGATCTTCATTGATTTGCTATCATTTTGCTGCGGTGGTTTCAATCGATTTCAAAATTTTCACACTCTACTGATCAATAAAAACGACATTTTCACGCCAGAATAACAAATCCTGACCCGTTTCGATGAGAGAAGGATTCAATCTCGTTTCATCCATATTCACTTCCGTTGTGGGCACAAAATCGAAAGCATTCTTGCATTTAACTCTTCATTCAGCATCTGAACCTGAGTTTAGATGGAAGATCTTCTGCATTTACTGAATTAATGGGTAGAAAAAATGTTTACTAATTAATGGAAATGTTTGACGCAGGGAATAAAACCAAAACGATTTGTAAGTAAAATGCGCTTGATTTCGGTGCCCTCGATTCCTACGATGAAACAATTCAAGCATGATGGCTTAATTCCTGATTTTGCTGATGACTTCACCAGAAAAAAAAAACGAAACAAAACCAAAATCGAACATCCTTTTCTTAACTCGATGATTTTTGCACGCCCATTCATTCTCACAATTGCACCTGTGTGTGGACCAAACGTGTCTTTATTTTTCAATTTTGGCAAAACTCAATCGATTTAGATCGATGACAACACACCATTTTACTTTTAAAAAAATGCATACAAGATCGCGAACTAATTAAGAATTTAAAAATTGGTGGACAAAACAATAATTAAATGTAGTAAACTAGAAATCTGTGAATTAAGAACAAATCAATTTTGAGGTAAAAACAAAAAATCTAAAACAAACATTTGTATTTTAAGTGTGTCAGTGGCAATGGAAAACAAATATTAAACTTGCATTCAAATTAGATGTTATACACACAACAAACACAAACACACACAATCACGAAAACAAAATAACAAAAGAGACGACTCAAGTGCGCCCGCATTAACAAAATACAAAAATACACACGTAGTCGAATTATGGAGCTGTATGAATGCTCGATGAATTAAATATAATAAAAACAAATATGTTTAAGGTGAATGAAGATAAAAACAGCAACAACAATGCAACCAATACAAAATAATAATATTGATAACAATTGAATGGTTTAAATGTGATTTTTTTTAAATGATAAACTAAGGAAAAAAAATTGATAGACAAACAATGAAGATTCGAAGACAGAAAAAATGTGAACCACATACAAATTTAATGGGAATTATAATGACAGAACACTTAACAAACAAGAACCGAAAATATTCCGATGTTTTTTAGTGTGAAATGACATGAAATTAGCAAACCGACCGATGACAAAGTATGTACAGAATACCAAAAGACAAAATTTTCTCTTTGGATATGGTCAACATGCACATTGATAAATCAATCAAAGAGAGAGATAATTTATTTTAAGCTTTACTTGATCCAAATTTCCATGGCAAATCCGTTTTTTTTTCTCGATACCAAACACATTCGAAAGAGTCCAAATTCAAAAAGCCAACACCTTTCATTTGCTATGTTCAATTTGAAATACTCAGAATTAATTCAATCTGAAATCGACATTCACTCTCATTTTGACCGGCATTTTAGCAAACCAAAATTTCAAACAAAAAAAAAAACAAAAAAAAACACTTTGTGCATGAACCAACACAACAAATTTAATAGCGAAACATATTTTATATCTTAAAAACAACAACAAAGAATAAAAATAAACGAAAAGGGTTTCTTCATTTTGAAAAGTGTGATAGAAATACAATAAGCGATTTGTTTCCGACTACCGAGCAACATGCCGTTGCTACCGATACGCAGAGACACCCGAAAAAAAGGAAATTCAATTCCAATGTCCAGAGAGAAAAATAATGCCATTTTTGAGTGAGAAAAAAGAGATCAAAAATTTGGCAACACCAAACTTTTTGACGGTTTAACATTTCGGAATTTCATTTATCATTTTTTTTTTTCTATTTGAAAAAAGTAAATATTTTGCTCAGGCATTGAACACATATTAAAAGGGAAAACCAGTCATTATTTTTCCACACCACTTTGGCAATTTAATTTCTTTCGTTTTCGCGACCCATTTTTTTTTAACATTTATTTTTCTTTCTCTCTTATAATTATTCATTTTTTCTTCTATTTTGATAACTTGGATATGACGACAATTTTGAAATATTGCAATTTTGGGCCAAAACAATTTTTTAAGTGCAAAAAACGATATCTTTATGGTATCATGACCACCCTTGACGTCAGTCACAGGTGTCTATATAATAATATTCTATTTCTGCCAAAGAATCTCCAGATTTAATTCGACCCAACCTCCGAGATCACAATGCAATATACTAGGAAATCAAAAAATCTTCTAATGATCAGGAATTTATCCAAATTATCACCATTTTTTTTATTTATACAAAAAAAAAATTCTAAAAAAAGAACGAAAAAAAAATTCTAAAAAAAACTTTGAAATTTTCCGGCTTTGAAAATAAAAGAAAAACAAATCTCGACACACGCCAACGGACAATAAACCAAAATTATCTCTCGGGTCAACAACAAGCAAAAAAAACTCTTCAGCAACGAAACAGATGAAAATTCACTTAAAAAAATACGTCCTCCCCCCCGGATTGGAACAGTTGTTTTGAGAGTGGGGAGCATTTGATTTCTCATTATGATTATGTCTCATTGAATTTGTATAAAAACAGCGCATTTTTTCTGTGTATATTTTTCTCGTTTTCTCCTACGTGTATTTTTGTAAAATTCTCTGTCGTTAAAATGCAATCAAAAATTTTAAAAAAACTGCGCCAAAATACTGAATTAATTTTTCAGTCATTATTATCAATTTGTTTTTTGTTTTCGTGTAAAGAAGAACCAAAAAAGCTATGAAACATTTTTTTTTTTACAAATGAACGAAGCAGAAAAAAAATTTATTCTCTTCTCTTGCGGTAGAAGAATTTTGTTTATTCCTAATTCTGTGATTTATAATTTTTTTTTCTTGTTTGTTTTTCAAAAAATTAAAGTAAAAAACTAATTATGCGATCGTTGCAGACGATCGGTCAATAGTCAGGTAGAGGAAAAAGAATCAATAGTACAGTCGGCAATATATAAAAGAAAAAAAAATAGTTGTAATACATTTAAATAATCCGGATTAGTTCAATTTAAAAAGAGAAAAACAGATGGAATTCAGAAGTCCAAATAACATAAAAGAAACAAATCAGAAGAATGTGCTTCCCTATTCTGGCGGGAAAGTCAAATTAGTTGATCCACTTTTTGGGCGTGATTCGTTTAAAGAATCTTTGGACACAATACGAAAGAACAATTGGCAAGTTGGCGCAAATTTGCCAAACAAAACGAAACAGCAAAAAAAGGAGATGAAAATCTCACAAATTGAAATTAAGACCAAATTCATCATCCACTTTTAGCAAAAAAAAACAACAACAACAAAAACACAACAGAAAAAAGATAGAATCAATATCAAGCACACCCCACGATGATTTAGACAATTAATTGCTTTAAAAAAATTCTAATTTTTTTTTGTTTGTGATTTTATTTTAACGCGATGAAGAGAGAAACGAAATTCAAAATGGGAAACAATTTTTTTACATGCAGGAACATGATTTTATGCAGAAAAAAGCGAGAGGAAGAGAAGAGAATGGAAATGAGAAGGAAGAAAATAAAATTCAAACACACAGAGAGCAAGAGTGAGCCACGGCTTAGGAAAGGAAATGTTTGTTGTTTTCTTTTTTATTTTCACAAGAAGCAAGATAAACTAAGGAGAACGAAGCATTTTTGACAAAACAAGGATTGCAAGGATTAACGAAAAGAACGAATCAATTTTTTTTTTGTGAAATAATTAAAAACAAAACACACTTATTACTATATATAGCTATATATCGAATATATCTAATATTAAGATTTAATTGAGAGAAAAAAAAACAAAGGAGCTAAAGGAGATTAACTATGGAAATCAAACCGAAAATTATAACGGAGGAAAAAAACGAAAACCACTGGCTAAAATCAATTGAGATGCATACAAAATATACACAATAAATGATTGAATTTAATATAATTTGATGGGCGATCCGGACGAAAAAAGATATTTACACACACGTTTCATGGACGTTCCAATGGAACATCGTTCCATGGATGTGCGGAAATGTAATTAAACCAAACCATCAGACAAATTTTTTTTCGGAACGATTGCCTACCAAATGATAAATTTTAACGGGAAAAAAGGAAAAACTATCAAGTATTGAGACAAATTAATTCAGAAAAACACTAAGAATAAACCAAGTGGACAGAACAAAAAGCAACGATTTTATTTCTGTTGCTAATGGGTTTTCGTTTTTGTTCTTCATATTTCTCCTCTTAAATTTACGTTTTTTTTTGTAATTTTAAAAGAAACAAACAATTTGTGATGTTAAATGAAAAAAATGAAATGTAATTGAATTTATATTGAAACGAATTGTAAACGAATGAAATGCAACAATTTTTTTTTGTTTTTGAGAAAAGATAGCACATTTCGGCGGGACACATGTTCCAACGAATGAAATGCTCAATGGAATGAAAATAAAAGAAGTTCTGGATAAAAAAAAAAGCAACACATGAAAAGAAAAGACAAGAGAACCAAAAGAATGAAGTGAAAAAAGAAAAAAAAACTCTAGCAAGAACCACATTTTTGCAAACAAAAAAATAAGAAAAAAAGGCAACAGCCACAATGAACCAAAACCCCATACACATACACACCGATCCACAACAACCCCCAATACACACTTACCGTTTCCGACAGTTTTATTTTTTATTACTACTTTTTTTTACATCCACATACACACATCCCAACCATAATAACCCAATCCCAAAATTTCTATTCGAACCGGCTTGAGATTCAAGTGGAAATGACTTGATTGTTATGTTTGCTCAGATTGATAGCTTGGCTTAAATAGAAATATCCCATCACATCCACATCCCCAACCCCCCCAAATACATTTATGAAGATCTCAAATACGAAAAATCACACAAAAAAGTCCTCAATGCTCATTTTATGGGCGGCAAGGCAAAAACAATAAATCACAAAATCTAAATCACACCTAAGCCAATTGATTGGCTTTGGCAACGAAGATGACCCACCCGACAGAGACGAGAGGTACAGACGGACAAAGTTTGAAGAACAAAAACTATCGAATCCACTTCGGACTGGAGTGCACGCGTTTCTGTCCCCTGCAGACCATTTGCATTGTCAAGGGATAGAGCTGACTTACAACGAAGTATTCCGAGGATATACTCTCAATGAAGAATGTGCAATGAAAACACCAATTGAAGGAAGGAAAGAAGGAAGGAAGCAGAGAATGAGGCCTTGCGAAGAAAATGTGATAGACCAACAATTTGCTTGAGCGTACATCAGCTCATAGGTAAATTTTGACTGTGTTTAATCCTTTTTTATTTATTTTTATACAAAACAGAAGCTGCTAAGTGATAAACTCAAATATCTGGTCATCCATTGTTATATCAAATATCGAGAACTTTCTGTGGCATAGCTGGCCATCAGTATCAACTATTTCGATTTCGAAGCAAACCGAAGACGAGTTTTTTTTTTAATGTTCAGTAAACATTGTTCACCTGTGGAATTTTGGCAATTCGACTACTTTTGATGAGGCAATTAAAATGGTTATGAGCGGACCAGAAGCAGTATGAGGCATTTTCCGAAGGTGCAATTGCAACCCATCCCAAATTTTGACGATGAGCAGTAGTAGAATCAACAATACGATCATACAAGCAGCCAACGACAGCTAACTTTGTTCCGGAACTCATTTACATCCTATTGAAGAAAAAAAACTATGAAAACATTCGAATTGTAACCAAAAATATGCTAGTAAAGAAAAATCAGTAGTTCCGACATAAAATTAACTCATAAAAAAAGCAATTTTCCAATGTAATCACTTTAAAACAATCCACAAAATTGGTTATTGTCGTCATTCAGGCCAAGTCATTAAAACTTTATGGAAAAACAAGTTGTGCATAAATTTGTTTTGAATTGAGAGATTTTTGTATCAAACCAAAACACCGATGTTAGCATTTTGTTATTGTATTTGATACGAATTTCGCATTTATTTTGGTATTTAAAAATTTAAATAAAATAAGACACCTTATTGACTCCACAAAAAGTTTTTCGATCAAAATAGTCATAATTTCATTTGTCATTCAGAAAAAAACTTGCAAACTATCACAAAAAATTTTTTTGATCAATTTATCAAAAATTTTGACTATTTTGATCGAAAAACCTTTTGTGAAGTCAATAAGGTGTTCGTCTTATTTTATTTAAATGTTCTGGACTTCACGGTGTTCAACACCAAAACAATATTTAAAAATTGTTTGAAGCACGAGAGCACCATCAATTGTGCTTACATTTTGAAATTGTAAAAACATCTTGAAATATGCATAAAATGCCGTGAACTAAACACAGTCAGAATTCAGCAAGAGAAAAAAAAATGTTTTATTCATTTTCCCCGTAGTGTAATTAAAGTTTACAATTGTTTTCATACTTGGTTTGTTTACTAATTGAAGCGTACGTATGTTCTTTCAGCGGTCGCTCTTGGCAACGATTCAACTATTTGATCAATACGAAAAAAACACGCCCAAAAATAACTGAACTATTTGCAACTTACGCCTACTGCGATCTATTTTACGTCGATTTGGAATTGTTGTTGCCGTAGCGCTGCAATTTACATTTCAAATTCCTAATCGCATAGTCATATCAACGTATTACGAAATATTCCTTTGAAAAAGCCATCAAAATTATCTAAATTTATGTGGGCTTAGTGAAAGTGACATTTTGCAGTTGATTCGACGGCTTTGAAAAAATTGGAGAAGGTTTTGACGAAGAGTAAAATCCAAAAGCGACTATTGAGTCATAATTTAGAAAATCGAACTCTGAAATAAACAAATTTCCAATAATACCAAGCGCCAATCGCAAAGAAGACGTCAAAACCTTGATATTGTTCAAAAAGACAGGATTTTTTTTCTCGATAAAATGGATAGTTTACTGGCACCAACAAAAGAAGACTTAAAATCAGTTCTCAAGTGTGAATTTCGGCAACGACAAGAGCAGGCCCGTAAAGCACGTATTTTCAATCCTCGCGTTCGATTGATTGGCGTCGACAAAGATGCGTTGGATCAGCATGTTCATGAAAAACAGCACCAAAGACTGTCCAAATACAAAGAAGAACTTTGCTATGCTCTGGAACAAGATCGCCAAACAGAGGCTCTAAATGAGGAGCTGAATAAGTTGGCCGAGGAAAAATTCCAGGCTCAATGTGAGCTGAATGAATACCGTAGCAACAGCCAACGGAAAGAACAAACACGTGAGTTTGATTTGAATGATCCAGAATATCTGCGGAAAATGTCACCTTTGGACGGTCTAGATTGGTTGGGCGAAGACCCAGACAACTCACATCGTATACGACTGCAAAGAGAGCAACAGAAGTCATGGCTGCAGCAGCAGGTCTACGAGAAGAATCAAATGAAACGAAACATGAGTGAAAAGCAAAAGGCAATCGAAATGGATGCCCTGTGCAAAGATGAACAATTGAAGCAAACAGATCAAATGGAACGTAAACAACGCCAAAAGCAACAAGCTGATACGGCAAGGTACAATTTGGCTTTGGCGCGGGAACAACGGGCCAAGCGTATGCAGAATAGACGGCGAGAAGAAGAAGATAATTTGGCAGAGATTATGAATAACATATCCAGTGATATGCTGACGGAGAGCAAGGATACAAGCGTATCATCGAGCCTTTTTGGCGGTACTCGCATCAATCCAACAATGTACCGTGGCATGACCAATGAACAAATCAGGGAAATTCGACTAGAACAAGTTAGACAAATCGATGAAAAACTCTCGAAAATGGCCAAAATGAAAGAAAACGACGAACGCTTTGATCAAACAATGAAAGCCAGAACGAATTTACTTGAGGCCGAAGAACACGATGTTAGGAGACAAAAATTACAAACGTTGCGTGAGCAGAGGTTTATGAATGCACGCCTACTGCAAGAACTAAAACAGAAGAATCATCACTTGAATGAGGAAGTTTACAAATTTAAACCAACTCAAGAATATTTTGAGCAATTCAATACGACTACTAGATAATTGAGGGGTATTATGATTTTTTTGAGCAGATAATAAACGTGGATTTTGACTCAATTTCGATGTTTTGGAAATATTTGGTTTATTTCTTCAGAAAATTTGTCATTTTTTCTGTTTTGTTGGCGTTTCTTGATTTTTAGCAATTTATTCTAGCTTTTTTATTCTTAATAGTTGTTTCAGATCCATTTGGAGCACTCTGAGCCCACTTTACCTTCATTGGAGCACATTGAGAACTTTAACACTTTCTTTGCCCATAAAATGTAGGAAAATCAATAATTTTCTTTAGATGATACTTAATTTGCTCCATATTTTGCTTTTGTATTGAAGTAAATTCTTCAGATCTCAAGAAAAGATTAAAAAATTGCAATAAAAACTTAATTATATTCATCCAAACGTGAATTAAATTCGTTTTATTAATCAAACCGTGCAACAAAAACGTGACGTACTGGCATAAACTAGTTTGATATACAAAAATAGGTGAGTATTAACGGCAATTTGCTTTAATATGGACAGCTGCAATTGAACGCTGCAGAAAGTGATGCCACTGAAATAGAAGAATAATAATAAATCGTTGATTCGTATCATCAAATTAACTTGGATACAGAAGAAAAAAAGTTCAATTCTTACATGTTGTTTGATCCTTCTTATAAACCTCTCTGGTCAGAACCTCAGCAATATGACAATGGCAGTTAATGTAAGTGGCTTCAATGATATCGACTTGTTGAACCGTAGCGCTGACATCAAATTGGTTTTCGCCATCAATAAAGTCACCATGTGAGTCGACATTATGTAGGTTATTCCATTCATCTCGCAACACCGCAACCAAGCTCATGAGTTGTTCGATGCCAGTTTTCATGGGGATGTCACTGGTTTTGCGAAAGCAATTTCGATAGATGGTATCAATGTAAGAGTCATGCAATTCGATTATCTCACGCAAACATTCGGCTTTTGCCATTCTTTTCACCAGTTGCTGACCCATCGATTGGATGACAAACGTCATGAGATGCGAATGAATACATTGCACCGAGTAAATGATCCAATTGCGAACTAAAGCTAAACGCTTGAATATGAGGTCGATCAATGTTAGCTCCTGATATGGTGGACGCTTTTTGAATTTTATCGGAAATTGTAGCGTTTCCAATGTCCAAATGGCCCATTTGATTTGCAGAAGAAAACGGAATATTTCATTGTACTTTGTCAACGCACGATCGTGAATCACATCACACACCGAGTCTCGCACCGAGTAATTGATTGTTATGTCAGCTATGGCACCTAGCGTCTCTTTTATATGGCTATCGGTTGCCATTATTTGGACACTGAACATGGAATGCATGGCGGGGTATCGCGTGCTAAGCACATCATCGAGCTGCACGGTGAGCAGGTAGGAATTGTTCCAATCTTCGCCAGCGTTCATCTGTGATGAGAAAGTAAGAGAAGATCATCAATTTTGTTTCAGCGATAGGAGAAGATTTTCATTTTCAATGCATTGATTGATCATTATAATCCCGCCTACTAAGAGATTCCTCAATGAATGAAAAAAAAAACAGTCGAGAAACATGGAAATTTACACTTTTGAACAACTTCGAGTAGAATGTGAGCATCAAATCTCCGGCTCCAAAGAAGAACACCCGTTGCAAATTGATCAGATGATCGAGAACTTTATATTCGTCCATAAAGATGCGTAGCACATATTTATTGGCAGTTGAAATTCGTGACTTGAGGATTTTCTTCAAACAGTCGTGAATGACGGTGCTCAATGGTAAGGGAAAATCGGTTATTTGGCATATTCTGAATAATATTTAAATAGATAATTGTTGTTAGTGAAATTTTTTGTATTAAAAATAAGACTGAAATTCAAAAAACGCTATAAATTTCCTAAACTCCATGTTTCTAACTCATACATTCTTCTTCATCTTTTCAACGTGTTTAACCTGAAATTCTCATATTAATTCTATTCTAAAAATGAACGAAACAAAAGTTAAAGTTTTACCTTTCAAATAATTTGTGACAATTAAATGATTCTTCATCGATATCCACCACAGTGTCTATTTGATGTGTCGTATCTATGGCATATTGTTCGAAAGCCATTGACAGTAGTGCATCCATCTCTCCCATTAGATCATTGGACAATAAACTTGTGTCCTCTTTCTCATTACTGTGGCTAAGATCAAGGCTGAGACTCGATGTATTTGCCAATGAGTGTGTTTCTCGTCTTGAATTTTCATCTTGAGCACCATCCTCGTCATTTTCATCAGATTCTTCAACATGAAACTTGTTGACCTCCTCCCAAAAACTGTTCATAAACACTTCTTCAATATCCTGAGATTCATCGTTTGACTGTTGCCCCTTCAGTTCCGTCAATTTGTCCAAATTGTATAAAATATTCAATATGTAGCCCGCTTCCAATGACTCGGCACGGAATAAATTGACAATTTCACAGGCGCCGATACGTGATTTTATGCTTGCAGCGTCCAAAGAACGCGATATACCCGCCGATATCGAACGACGCTTATATGGATTTGATGATGTGTTAGAGATTCGATTTGGTTTCGTACTGAAAATGTTCAATTTATATTCAATAAATGAGTTGAAAAGATTGCCTAAAAATATTTCACTAAAAAGTTACCATTTTTCAATCAAAAACTCGCTGCACCAATCTTTGAACTGTCCTTCAACCCACCAGCGACTAAAGACATGCAAATAGAATCGAATGCTAACAAGAAGTAAACTGGCTGCAATATTTATCCGCTCAAGTCCAACCGTTGTGTCCATTTCATGAATTAAACCAGCAAATAAGTAGGCAACACAAACATGACCTGTTGAATAGTTTTCTCCGTTAGAGTTAATTAAATGAAATTAAATATTGGAAAAAAATGAACGAATTTAAATTAAATTTCTACCAAATTTCGATTTCTCTTACCTTCATTGGTCTTAAAATCGATATAAACCTTTGTGTGGATGTCGTACAAAGTGTGAACCCGTTGAAAGTGCATCAACAGTTGATTGTAAAGAAAAATGATGGTGTGTGTTTGTGTGAGATCCTGTTTGATAATTTCAATCTCCAAATCGATGATGACTTTATTTACCACGCGTAGAAAATCCTTCAGGCCATTGGCATAGTTTTGTATCGAATGGGGTGCAATCTGAACGGATTCCAAGAAGCTATTCACAACGGGTGGTTCGAAAACTGTTTTGAAAAACTTTCGGAATCGATATAATTTGGTGGCAATCAAAGCAAATTCGGTTAAAATTGGCTGAAGACTTTCGGCCATTGTACTGCTCAGTGTGGCATTTGTATTGACAATAAATTCATCGGTAGTTGTGTCGAGAGTGAAAAATTTCGAGAATTTCTTGAGTCGTTCCGATTCGATTTCATCAAGTGGTTGCATTTGAAGCATCCAAATTATCTCACGCTGCAAACACCATTCCGATATCACCGCTGTTCCATCGTGGGGAGTTTGAGCCAACCACCATGCACGTTGAACATTCTTTTCCCTCCAGGCCATCACTTTCGAGGTGTCGAAATCCGTGAAAATTGACTTCTTCTCGGGAGGCCGCAAAATGGACGAGCCAAATGGGATTAGTTTTAAACGCAACGGTCGCACGTCCGTTCGTAAGGAATCATTACTCGTGTTTGGACTGACACTGGTATCACCAACAGCACCCTCGTCGTCTTCATCTGACCAATCCTGTGGGCAATTCAATGGAGTTGAGATTATTCTTTGTAATCGAAAGATTTTTTCTTCTAGTCTTCTTACATCAACCATTTTGCATAACTTTTCCCATCAATACTTACACTCAAATCCGATTCGTCACCAGCATTTCGAAACTTGGCTTTTTCCGTTGGAATATTGTGCTTAATCAATGAACTCACAAGATCGTGCATGGCTGACGATTTTCTTCGATCCGGCCGAATATCTTCACCATGTCCCGAGTCATCAATACGAATGCTATTTTTGTCTTCAGACAGAGCAGCCACTGGGTTTTTTGATACTCCCAGTAAAAAATGTAGCAGGCTCCATTGAATATCATACTCGTAGTGACTGGTGCAAAGTGGATCCGTTACAATTTCCTGTGCCAATTCTTTCAATTTCTCGCCATATTGCGTGTAATTGTCGGCCATAAATCTCTCGGCGATGCCATCAATTCGACGGCGCACCTCATGACTGTTAACCGATAAAAATCGATGGCTTGCAACACGTGAAAACGCATATGATTCACACAGCTTAAAATTCTCATCTTTTTCCTGGATAAAGACACAAAAAATCATTTGAAAAAAATAAATTTGATGCGAAATTTTCTAGTAAAGCGAAAAAAAATTGTATTTTTATACAAATTTATAGAAAAAAGGATACAAACGACCATACATTGAATCCAGTCAATGATTTCACAAGCATCGGAATATTTTCATCGATAATCATCTGCCGAATGTTGTGGCTGGACGACATTTTGCACTAATTCCACTAAAACCTGTTCAAAATTTACTTAAAACCAAGGATCAAACCCAAATCGGGCGATTTGCACAATGTCCGGCGGAACAAACAACCGTCGAATCAATTGTTTGCAATGAATATTGTGTGATGAACTGTCAAAGTTAGCGCAAATAGACTGACTTATGACATTTCAATCAAAACATTAGACAATAGGCTGAACAAATGTGAATATTTGTTTGGAATTCGTTGCCGAAAAATATTTTTGTTCATGAAAAATATGCGTTGCACTATCAAATCTAAAAAAACGCTTGGAAAGAAAAAAAATTGACAAAGTCAGATGAATGATGAAATAAAATATAAAAAAATCGAGTTTCAAATTCCACAGCAGTACAACAGCTGGGTGTATAAAGCAAAACGAAAAACCGATTTTTTTCCAATAGGGACGCGTCGGATGCAGCGCATAATCAATAAAAGCTTTTTTATGTTTGGACCCCGAAGACTTTTTTTTCTCTCTCTCATTATCATCATTCAGATGTTTTGTTTACTGTCAAAACTATGAAATTCGTCACCGTAATCGGGCCATCACTTTCGTTTATTTATTCAAGCGACTCAGCATAAACCATCGCATCAGCACAAACCGAAAATCTTGTGACTTTGTTGTGTGATTGGCTTGAGTTGATTGTGTGTGAATATTTGTTGTTGTATGCGATTTTAAGAATGAATACCGAAGTTATGGTGGTGGCATAACGGTAATAGCAGAGAGATACACACAGCCTGCCGGACTGTGTTGGTTGAACTCAAACACTTGCGTCTTGTTGGAATCAGTACGGATATGAATACTATACGATTCGAATAGAAAATAAAATTTGCATCTCCAATTTTAAATCGATTTCAAATTGGCAAATGAGATTAAATTTTTTCAAGTAGACAAGAGACAAATAGTGTTAAACAGACAGACAATTTCATAAAATCATCGTTGAATTTCATAAACTCTTCCGGAACTGTGTCGAAAAAGTGTGAAACGGTACAATACATTATATGTGCATTGAAAAAGTGGCACCGAAATTCAGCGAACTAGTGGTATTTCATATCGCACGTGTTCAACATGAATGTTACAGGGAAAGAGGTGATGATAAATGTGTTGGGCAAAGATTGTATTGTGAAAGTGCCGCCAGAATTTGCATTGAACGATGACAACAACAAAACCACCGAACGTACTGACGACTTGATTTTATGTCCGGTGAATGCGAGTGTAACATCGAAAATGACCAAAGTGGTGCCGGTGCATGGATTGAATGCGATCAGTCGCTTTGCGGGTCAAACAATCAGAAAGGATCATGCTCAAATCACCTATACACGTACGGTTCAATCGGCCACAGCGATTCTGAAGACCATACCACCGCCGCTAATACCACTACAATTTCAAATGGTGCCAAAAAAATACCACCAACAAAATACACAATCATTGTTACGAAAATCTGTTGAAAATGAAACAACCGAGACAACCGTCTCATTGGTGTTGGCAGCGCCATCTGGAGCCAATTCATCGACCGTCACTCATGCTAATCGTTCACTAGTTTATCGAAAGCCAGTGACAACAAAAGACACCGCTGCAACTAAGAATTGCAATCAGTTCAATATCATCGATCTAACCGAGAATTATTCAGCTAACGACTATAATTTAAACGATTCACCCGTTTCGGACCATACTGTGGATGCTTTGATAGAAAGTGTTACAAGTGACGATTCATTATTGGCGGCATTTGTTGAGCCAAATACCATAAATCCCAACGAACTGGTGAACAGTGGTGCAAAATTACATATTTCCAGACCATTCAAGCAACAGCTTGAGAAGCAATACCAGTTTCTAAGTACAAACACGGTCAATCAACATTATCCACACGTCAAAAGGGTTTTGCAAACATATTCTGAATGGGTAAGCAACAAATGTCATTCTTTCACACACATTGTTGTGTTCTCTCTCTCTCTCTCTCTCTCTCTTTAGGAACAATGTAACTTTGTGTATTGTTTTAGTTTCACGTGAGTTTTACAGTGCTAAAAATTTGATTTTTTTCTTCGTTGGTGTAGGAAACCGTGAATGATCCGGAAGAAAAGTTGTTGCCAAGTGAAAAATCATTGAAAATGAACGAAATATTCGCAAAGTGTCAAGCACAGAAGCGTAACCGTGCTAAAAGTGCTTATATTACTGATGCACAGCTCGAGGTACTTGGTGTACCGTCGAAATTGGCCCGCACAAAGAGCAATGAATCGCTGGAGATTATCAATTTGGATGAATTGCCGGAAAAAATGGAAAAACCTGAACCAAGAACATACAGAACAGCAACACAAAATGATTGTTTATATAATATGATCAAGTCGGATGCACGAAAAGCACTGGAACGAATGAAAACAACGACTGCTATCCCGGGCGGTAGTAAAATCCAGATTTCAAATGGCCAATTGTCTGATACTAATGGACCCATCCGTTTGCTTGATAAATCAACAAAACAAATTTCAGCTCCGAATGCACGACACATTGCGCGTATCCAAAGCCAAAATGCTGCGATTGCATCACTGCCAACGAAGGACAAAGCACGCAAACTAAAGGAGTCCATTGAATCGACCGAAACAGTTTTGAATTGGATTGAGAATGATGAGAAACACGTGAAACGCACCTATAGCCGATCGAAATCGTTGAGCACCAAATCGAGGATGCACTTTAAAATCAGCAACATTGCGAATGCACCGAAAATCAAGAAACTTAAGATTCGGCCGATAAATCACGATAATGATTGGCAAACATTGACCAATGTTTTAGCGACGAATGCTTTTAAAGTGGATTCACATTCAAGTGGCAAGAACACACCCAGCGAACAGATGAGCAATGGAAACTCACGTGCCACAAGCCCCACTGAAATTGATCATGTGTTGTCATGGAATACGAACAAAACACTTGGCCAATTGCCGAAATCGCAAGTGATTTTTCAACGTAATGAATTTGGAATGGTCGAAATGGACGGTTTGGCGATGACCAAGATAAAAGCCATGAAATCGCATAAGAGTGATTACAAGAATTTTCCACAGTTTGAACCATCGATGGCCTGTGGCCATCCAGATTTTGCCGGATGCTTTGATGCAATTGTTCAGCGTCTGAATAGTGGCAACCCAACTATTACCTGCAAAGTCAACGACAAGAAACCACATCAATACTATTCGATAGAGTTTAAGGAAATCATTGGCGCTTTGGCACAGAAGAAAAACAACAATTGCCAAGCAATCACGTCAAATGATATTGTTGAAGCACTGCTCGAAACAAACATGTATGAACGCACCAAGAATTCAAGCCACTTCAGTTGGCCACGATTCATTGATTATTATAACAAAAAGTGTGCCAGCGGAGAACAAATACAATTGGCACCACCGGAACTGTTTGTTAATGCCTTGCCAAAAACGCCGAACACATTCGAAATCGGACAAAAGTTGGAGGCAATCGATCCAGAGAACAGCAGTCTCTTCTGTGTTTGCACCATTGTCGATAAATGTGGGTATCGCATTAAATTACGCTTCGATGGCTATCCAACCTCGTACGATTTTTGGGTCAATGCCGATTCGATGAACATTTTTCCCGCTGGATGGTGCAGCAAAACAGGTTAGGCCTTTGGGAATCTATTTGTCTTAGACTGTGTTTTACTTTTATCTTTATTTTCATACTTGATTACGTCATTTTCATTGTGATGAAAGAAGAAAATTTCATAATAAAATAAGGGATGACGATGCATTTACTCATAAACATTTTCGAAATTTAATTTATCGTTTGAAAAGGTCGTGAACTGGAAGTGAATCGCCGTTTCACCAGCAGTCGCAACATGAATTTCGAATGGAAAGATTATCTACGACAAACCAATACACAAGCAGCTCATAAGGCTTGCTTTCCTAACTTGAATACGGCGGTAAGAAATGTCTCTTTTTATATATAAAGCTTGAACATTTCCATTTTAACATGAATTCAAAATTGCTTCCAAGATAAATATGCAATATTGATTTTCTCATAAAATTTCTCTTTTTTTTTTATAAAATAGCGAACACAAATGAACCCATTCAAAATTGGAATGAAATTCGAGGCCGATGACACAAGAAATACGAACCGATTGTGTGTGGCAACGATTGGTGATGTGATTGACAGTCGAATTCTGGTGACCTTGGATGGATTTGATAGTTGCTACAACTATTGGACTGACATCAGATCGCCGTATATTCATCCGATTGATTTTCATCAAGAGAATGGATATTCGATTACAAATCCACCGAGTAAGTTTTCATCTTGGAAGTAAAAGTGGATTTTCACAAAAATGTACTTTCCATCGGTGCTAAAAAAAAGAACTGTGTCCACTGTTGATAGAAAATTGATAATTATGTTCATTAATGAAGAATATCATTACAAATTTTAGATTGGCGTATGACACCGTTTTCCTGGGAAAGCTACTTGCGTATTAACCGTTCCGAAGCAGTGCCAAGAGATGCATTTCATATGCGTAAACCGAAGCCATTCACCGTCGGCATGGCGTTGGAAGTGGTTGACAAGAAGAATCCATCACTGATTCGTCCGGCAGTCATAACAAATATTGATGAATATCACATCAAGGTGTTGTTTATTGGATGGCCAGAAAAGTATTCATACTGGATTGACGATGATAGCTGCGATATTTTCCCGCCTGGTTATTGCAAGAAGACAGGCCATCCGATTGAGTGTCCGTTAGGTGAGGCAAAAAAAAAAACTTATACTTTGAATTATTTTTCTCATCACATTAATTCAAACTCTGAAAATTATTTCAAATTCCAATGGAACAGAAATGTTCTAGTTCAACAAGTTGTTCAAAAAAACGATCTTAATTTTAAAAAAAAATTTCCTTTCCTCTTCAAATAGATTTCATCTATGAATTGCCGAAAAACACCTGTGGTACGAATGGTTGTCGTGGTATCGGAAATGGCAAACGCCCCGAAGCAAATACCCATTCGACATCGGAAGAGTGTCCTTACGAAAACATCAATTGGTCGATCGATGATAGTAAATTACGTCCAAACCGTGTTGATCGTAAGCACAAGGCCATCAACAGTGCATTCAACATTGGCGCTGGCCCATCGCGTAAAGTATCCGTGAATCCGGCCTTTGAAAAAGTGCAAGTGTCCTTGCAGAAAACACTGAACCCTTTCGAATTGGCCGCGATGTCAAGCAAAGACGTTGAGATCTTCCGTCGTTTGCAAGTGTCAGCTCAATTTTTACTTGAGAATCACAAAACATTATCGGAATTACGTGACCAATGGATTGATCGCTTGAAGCCACTGCGGCCAGTTCAGGTGTTAGCCGCCACCAAAAATCCATTGAACTGGACCAAAGAGGAGGTAGCAGCCTTTGTGTCACAGTTACCAAACTGCTCCCTGCTTGGATCGACGTTCCTCGACAACGAAATTGATGGTTTGGCCTTTTTATCGTTGCGTCAAAGCGATATGATTGACATAATGGGCCTGACCATGGGCTCAGCCATCAAAGTATTCAACCGAATCGTTCTGTTGCGCGAAGAATGCAACACCCATTACATTCGCTACGAATAGAACAATACGATTTTTATTCATCTCATTTTCATAGATATGGTTTATCATACGTAGTTTTATTTTGCGCCAAAATTCATGCATATTGTGTGAACAAGTAGCACACACATTTATCCATTTCACTTTTTATTCAACTCTCACCAATTGTTGGCAAATATGCTCAAAATAAAAAAAAAACATTTTCAATCGAAAATAACGACTGTCGTTTGAATCACTGGGAGCGAACAAGTGGTGTGTATTGTCAAATTTTGACAGAACACAAGCATGGTTTCAAATTGTGAGGTTAGAATCACACATCAGTCAAAACATAACAGCATTGCTTTTATTTACCGCATTGTTTTGTGTGGTTTGGTACGATTAGCGGATTTTTGTAGTATTTTCATTAGTTTTGGTGGATTCTCTTGCGGGAAAATGGATCAAGGGATTTTGGACAACTTTCAAACGGTCGTCCATGAACTGTTCATTCGATGGGAGGCCCTCAAATTGGCAGTTCAACACACAGATCGACACGATGGACAACAGGTAAATAACAAATACTCATTCATTTAGCTAATGTTGTCGATGGCAATGGACTTTTGATGGCTTTTTCTTTGACTATCAACAAAACCCAATGAGGAATATGTACACATAGTTATTTAGATTTTTTGTGCACATTTTGTACATAATTTTTTGTGTACATTTTGTACATAATTTTAAAGTAATTATCTAAAAATCAGTGCACTTTTTGTGCACGAAATAATGTGTACTTTTTGTACACGTTCACATACAAAATTGACGTTACAAAAATGTGCACAAATTCAATATTAATTAACGTTACATATTCCCCATTGGGAATTATCTGATTTTGCAGAAAATAGAGATATTTTTCTCTTTTTTGACACAATTCAACGATCAAACCTATGTTTTTTTTAAGGAATGCAACGCTTAATTATTTCTATTTATTTATTTACATTAAACTTGCTAAAGCAATTTTTTTATTCACATAAAAAAAAGTTGACATGAATAGGAAAAAATATTGATTTAGAACAAAACAAAATTATGAAGAAAAAAAATTCGAGTAAAAAAATCAAATAAATTTTAACACGAAGAAAATTTTAATCAATTCCAAAATTAAAATCTTGGAAAATAATAAGAAAATTTAAATTACAATGTAGATGTTGATGCGAATTTTATTTAATGCCATTTTATATATCTTTTTTGCTATTTTCCCTCCAGGCCGCCAGAACGATGAGAGACGATATCTTCCAATACTGCATAAATTACGATGTTGAGCCAGAAGATCTGGAAGTGGAGCTGAGCGATAGAATAGACGAGGTGTTCAACACAATTTGCGAGGATAACTCGACTAAAGGTAGGTAGAGCAGTGAATAGTACAAAATAAAAAGTACTTTTGATTACTAAATATTTTTCTCAAACAATAATAATAATGAGACCAATCTCCCAATTATTCACGATATCCATTCTTTTCGATCTTTCCAGAATTAAGTCACCTGTTGTTGAATTATTTGAAACTGTGTTTGGAGAGTAAATTCGATGAAGTGCGACATCACATAGGTCAATTACCAAATTGTGTCAATTGGTTGGACCCGAATTTCAAAATCACTCCAGCGCCCAGAGATGACAGTGATTCTGACTCGGATAGTGGCAGTGACGAGGACATGGAAGTGAGTAGTGATGATGAAGCGCCTCCTCTAGCCGGACCCAGTCAGCGCCAAAGAAATAAGCCACAAACCGATGAAGAGGGCTGGACGACAATCCCATCGCGACGTCGATAGTTCTAACTAAAAAAAACTCCTAAGCTAATTGTTCAAATAAAACTGCAATTGATCTGTAAATAAAACCCGAACGTTCTAATTTGCTTTTTGACAAAGCGTTTTAAGAACTCACGTAATTTATTAGAATTGTTTTTTTAAAATGTTTATTGTGTACATCAAACTACTGATTGAATTGTTGAAACTCGATAATTCGATACTGAATGTCCTAAAGAGGCTATGTCGTCAATATGATTTGCTCTCATAATTTTCGTTTTAAATTTTTTTCATGGATATTTTTTTAGATACATTGTTGTTGGTTGTTGTTTTTCCTCCTCTCATTGAAATATTTCTAAAATCTTATACGTATCAATTGTCTTATTCAGTTAAGTGATCAGTAGTTGTCTGTGTTATGGTGTGATACTGTTTCTCTTTTTTCAGAGGAATATGTGCTTTGTCTATTGTTGAAAATGTTGAAAAGTGCAGTTATGATACTTATTTATCGTCCTCGGCTTCTTCTGTTGCGTTTTAGGGGATAGAAAATGGAGATTTGGATTAGATAAGACTTACTTGATGACATTTTATTTTGATTTTATCATTCCTTACCTTCAATTTCTTCGTCATCATCAAACTGCTCTTCCTCGCCGTATTCTTCACCGCTGCAAAAGAGAGAAAGATGTTAATAACCATGGTGTGAACAATTTTTCATGATTGATACGCTGAAAATAGGCTTATAACATAGATTAAACAGTCAGGAATGATATGAATTTGGAAGAGAAGATCCAAATGGGCACAGACGAGTCAAGATTGAGACATGATTGAATGGATATACTCAAGCTGACACAGACTGTCATTGACATTAACCAAAAAAACGTGAAGAAATACACAAATAATGAAACAAAGTGTGCCATGAGTCACCGATGAACTATAGTTGATGAAACATATGAAGCATTGAGAACAAATCAGTAGACATCGAATGAGACTTTTTCTATCCTATACTTAGATCCATCTAATGGAGCATATCATCGTACCATCTAATGGCTTAATCTGAGTTGTGAATAATAAAAGAGGTTCTTCTTCAGAAAAAGACCCCATTCCTTACCTATTTTCATTTTCTTCGGCTTCAACCTCGATGTCTGGTACAAGATAATATTGTAACGGATTTGGCCAAAGATCATCCTTCAGCAATTCGGCGATTTCATCATTGACTGGATCGCTGTTATCGCTGAACCAATCGAAAAATGTTTTGAATTCGAATGGTCGTTTCCGCCGACTGCTTTGCTGTTGCTGTTGTTTGTTTGATTTGCGCAAATCTTTGCCTTCTTTCCACTCGACTGCGGACAAGCAAACAAATTGAGATGGATTTAGATACAATCAGAAAGTGTGAATACAATGAGTTATTGTCAATAAATGTGAATTGAGTATTTGTCAATACATTATAATGTGTCACATATAATTTAGGGGTTGTACGTAGGATACAAGGAATAATCATGGGATATCTCCCAATGTGAGAGCATATTCCAAATATGAATCAAGAAAATAGTTTTAAAAAAACAATGAAAGAAAAGACCGAGAGAAAGACTTACTCGTGGTGCTCTTTGACACTGGGCCGGAATTGCCACCCAAGCAGAATTCCTTTGTCAACAATTTATTTTCGAAGAATGGATTCTCTTCAAAGTAGAAATTGATGCGGTAGCCCGACTTGATGTCTTCGAATTCTTCCACTTCCATTTTGCCCAAGAAGTGCAAGCATTCCTCTTCCTCTTCTTCCAACAGCCCCGAGATTTGAGAGTGGTTTATAAACTGAATTGGAGATAATAATGGAAAAAAGGGTTAAAGTCACACATATCGTGAAATCAACGGTTCGAAAACAACTCAATCTACTTACGGCCGTAACCCAAAAGTTCGGAATGTTTTTGATGATATCGTTGCGCTTTTCAAACAGTGGCTTTCGCAATTTATTGTACTTCTGTTCGACCTTCAAAATTTCTTCGGAAGCTTTTTCGTTCAATGAATCGATTTCATTTTGGCATGTATCGATTTGCTCTAAGAATTCCGATTCACCATCGGCCAAACCTTCATCTATAATGTAAACAAAGTCTGTCAAAATGCGCCCTAGATTTTATCCATTCTAAGCTCTATTTACCCTTTGGTTTCTTTGCAGTTGAAGCCATTTCGAGAGATGTCGAGCGATTCACAAATGAAATAAAAACAAATACTCTGATAAAAGTACGACTGTAGTGTCACAGTTGAGCAGGCCAATTGTATCGTGTTGAGTAAATTCCTCTACTGATGCTATCGCTGCTTCTTCTTCTTTATAAAATGGAAGAAATAAAGAATAAGAAAATGTTTTGTTTCAACACATTTGTCGCAATAATTAATGATATGCAGTGTTGTTGCGCGTGAATGACGTGATCAATCGAATAGATTCGAAAAATCATCGTTTATACATCGCCATTTTATTACGTTTCTTCATTGTTCACGCGTTCGTTTTTTTTTCAGTTGGTGCCCATTTCTTCTTTATTTTCATGCAAACACGACGCAACAACAACAACAAATTGCGAGTGAAGCATACACTGGCAATAATTTTCAACGACGCCAACCGAAAAAAATGCACCAAATTTTTCTATTGCAATATTTTTTTGTACCAAATTTAACTACGATCAATTGACGGGCATTTTTAATTTGAGCAACGGAAAAAAATGATGCTACTTACGATTTCAATGACTGTACACAATGAGTCTGAACAACGAAAGCGAAAATACCAACCGGCGCTGTGTGTGTTTCAATGGATGACAAGTAGATGCAACCTCTCTTCTTCTTCTTATTGCTGCTGCTGCTGTTGCTGCTGCCAATTTCGCTGCGACCGTTTTGTCTTCCTTCTCTTTTTCTTTGCGGAGAATGTGAGAGAGCACTTGCTTATGCTACTTTTTGCCGCTATTTTTTTTGTCTATCTCCTTCGTCGTTTCGCTTACACAAATGTCAAATCGTCTTGTCTTGGAATGTGAGTGTGCGAATGAATGCCGCTAACGATGGGTACGTTCTGTCAAATACTGTTGTTCATTTGGACGGTTTGACACAATCAAAAAATATTCGGTTGAATTTTTTTGTTGGCTTTTTTTCGATTCAAAAAAATTATTTTTCACTTTTTAATAATTAAAAATGGAAAATATTTTTTATTCTCATTTTTTTCCATTTTCAAAACAAGTCTTTATCATTCGTCTTTTTCTTTGCTGAAACAATTCGCCGCACCGCAGCATTGAATGCATTCATTTCGACGCGTGCAATGGTTCGCCGAAAACCAAGCGACATGTATCGTCAATTGTGAGCAAGAAAGACAGCGAACAACCTCTAAACGGCAGTACATTTTGGCATTGTTGACCAAAAAAAAGTTGTTTGTGCATTTAAAGGTGTTTTTTAAAGAGTTTCTTTAACCGAAAATATTCCGCAAAATTTGTGTGTTTTCGATCAATACATCCAGCTAAAATATGTCGGCCGAAAGCCAAACAACGGGAAATACTAACCTGAAGAAACAGGACTTATCACAATTGGTAAATATATACTTTTCTACATATCGCACATTGTATCGGCGAATGGAGTGCATGGTTTTGATACCCATTCCGATTTCAATGGAATCAATATGTTTCAACTTTGAATCGGCATTGGGATGTAAAGTTATGGAATTTCGGCGAGAAAAATGCAAAAATAATCGCAAAAATCGTGAAAGTTTGATGTGGAAAGGTAAAAGGCCTTATCCACGTAGACATGCATTAATATAGTGCGTGTATGATGAAATTCCATTGAAATTAATAGTACACGGAACATAACCTCAAATATACTATAATATTTTCATTCATTGCGGCATCACACGAAACGAAACAGTGAAGTAATGGTGGAGAAAAAAAAATTACGGTATTTGAACACGAACACATCATGTGTTTTGGATGCTGATTGAGTGAAATTCGTTTTGGGCTATGTCAATATTTAACGATTCTATGGTTGAAACTTATTGAATTAGGTCACTCATGACATATTTTGCATTCCAGAACGAGATTTAAAAAAAATGAAAAAGTAATTTCCATGGAAAAATATTGGATGAAAATATCTCTGAAAGTTGACGAAATTAGTTCAAATATCTTCGGAAAATCTCAATGTAGCTTACAATTCATTGAAAATCTTCATAAAATTCTTCAAAAACGTAAACTATTTCATTGAAACACCAAGAATCGATGCGAAAGTGTTGATAGTTGTTGACAACTTGATACAAATTACTTGGAAATATTTCCAAAATGGATGAAATCTTCCTGAAATTGAAGGGAAATCTCAAAGAATTTGTCAAAACAAAGAACCAAAGTCCGAAAAATAAACAAAAATGCCCTTGAAATATCCTCAACCATTCATGTCAAATATGGAACAATTTGCCGATAAAATGGCTTAATAACGCGCCCAATATGCTCCCCATTCATTACTTCATTCACATTCCATTCATTTCAGGATATCTCAACATTGACACCATTATCTCCGGAAGTGATATCGCGTCAGGCGACCATCAACATTGGTACAATTGGTCATGTAGCTCACGGTAAATCAACTGTGGTGAAAGCAATTTCTGGTGTGCACACCGTTCGTTTCAAGAATGAATTGGAACGTAACATTACAATCAAATTGGGTAAGCATCAATCAAAAGTTCTAGTTTTTATTTATTTTTAACTAACAAACTGCCTATCACAAGAGGAACACAAACAATTGATTTTCGTAAGCATGCGTTAGGAAACGGTTTTTGTTTTTAGAAGAAGAAAAAACGACAACGACAACAACATAATAAACTCTGGTGCAGATATAGAAATGTCATTGAATGATAACATGTTGGAATGATTGTTTGAGTCCCTCCAAATTTCGAAGGTGGTTGTGTGTGTGGATCTCGTTGTCGATGATGATTGCAAGTCACATTCAATTTCATTCGAGCCAAAGAAACAAACGCACAATGAATATTCAGAATTAAGAAAATACACAAACAACTGGATAATTTTCTGCCCACAAACAAACAAAAAGAACAGTCCGAATGAATTTTTCGTTTCCATTAAATCGTTTTTCATTTATCAGTGTTTTTTTTAAACTTTTACCCGGTTAATTTTTCACTAGCACAACCATTTGACCGAAATCAGTAGTTTTTTAGTTGGTTTATTCAATGTGGTTTTCTCGTTGGATAGACTCATTTTATTCTCATTCTTTTGAATTTTGTATGTTTATTTTGAACATTATTTTATCCAGTTGTTTTTTTTTTCTTCTTTTTTCTGTGTGTTCTCTGTTTTTTTTTCTTGGTATCTCTGAACGTCAATCTCGCAGAGCGTATAACACCCGAACAAATTCAGGAATTGTGTGAATCACCCACCAAATTACGACAATTTGCCAAAGAACAATTGATAAAGTATCCAATACGTGATTTGTCCAAGCGAATAGTTTCGAAAGATCAAAGCTTAAAGGGTAAATCTGCCACTATGAACACCACCCCAACATCATCTGCTACCACAAACAAGCGTAAAGCTGACACCAAATTGGACGGCGAACGACATGTGAAAATTCCGAAATTTTGCGATTTGTTTGGTATGAAAGAGAAGGATGCATTGAATAAAAAATTCTTCGGTGGTAGCACAACAACATCGATAAATGGTGATGAAGCATCGAGTACAACCTCACAACGTTTGACAATACATGATCTCACCTACACAGATGTTGACAGTGAATGTTCATTGATTGAAATGAATCTGCGACGTTTGTGTGCTCTGTGCAAATTGACACACCCCGAATTCAAGCCACCAATCATCCCAAAGACAGGCAATATCACAGTCACCGAGAACGGTGTACACGAGGTTGAGTACAAAGTGAGCAAAGTCATCAAGTTGGAATATGATTATAAATTGAAGCGGCCATCGTTTGAGGTCAGATGGGAAGGATATACCGAGGAAGACAACACATGGGAGCCCATCAAAAATATTTGGGATTGTAGGGCATTCCAAGAATTTACCGATCAATTCATCCGTTCGAGACGGACTGACATGGAACAGCTTTGGAATGAAATGATTGAAACAATTGTAAATGAGTCACTCGAACCGAATCTCACCAATTTGGAGGCCATTGAACAAATCAAAAAGTTCAACTACAACGATTTTCTTGCACATTTTTTTATGATGATTCGTATGCGACGTGCAAAATTGGATCAAACCGATAAATCGTATCAAACTGTATACGATATTCTGATGAATGACATGAAACACTTAAGCTACTATTATCGACGGTTGGATCAGTTACAGAATATGCACGAGTTCCAGCAACGCATCAACATTGTCGATCAATCGAAAAATTTGCACGTAGAAAATGTGAACGATTTTGAACTGCCACCAATGGATAATTTCACCTACACAAACGATGTGATTCCACGCGATGGTATTATCATTCCAGACGATCCGCCGGTCGGTTGCAGTTGTACCGAAGATGGTGATGGTGAACCATGCTCCATCAAATCCGACTGCTGTGCCAAGCAATTCGACGCTCAATTTCCATACACCAAACGTGGCCTGATCCGTGTTCCACAAGGCACACCGGTTTTCGAGTGCAACAAGGCGTGCAAATGCTCGGAAAATTGTCCAAATCGCGTGGTACAAAAGGGCCGCAAGCAAACATTGTGCATTTTCAAGACCAAAGAACGTGGATGGGGCGTACGAACCGAACGAGCCATTGCCAAAGGTCAATACATTTGCGAATATGTCGGTGAGATAATCTCGCACGAAGAGACCGAACGTCGAGGCAAAGAATATGATGCCGTTGGCCGTACATATCTGTTTGACTTGGACTTCAATGACAAGGATAATCCATACACCGTTGATGCAGCCAAATTTGGCAATGTGTCACGGTTCATCAATCACTCGTGCGATCCAAATCTTGGCGTTTGGGCTGTATGGACCAATTGCTTGGACTTGAACTTGCCAAAACTCTGCCTGTTCACACTTCGATCGATCAAAGAAAACGAAGAGCTCACATTTGACTACAGCAATTCGACAAATAGTGGTCGAGAACAAGCCGATGCCAATGCCAATCGAGAACAAGTCGATGCTGACACCAATCCTAACGTTCCATCAACTGAAATCGACATCGCCAAAATTGTAACAATAAAAGACAAAGTATCCAACAGGCCAATCATTCAAGCCGAAACAAAACAATCACCAGATGAAGTGGTCATTAAATCGGAAATCAAAGAAAAAATCCAAGAGACAACAGATACAGTCTCAAGCCAATTGAAAAATAAGAATGGAACCGACGCAACAAAAGTACCAGACACATCTAAAGATACCAAAAAAGAGGGATTCACGTGCCAATGCGGAGCAGCCAAATGCCGAAAAATCATTTTTATCTAATGTTTTGCATAAGTTCAACCAAATTATACTGTACAAATTTCGTGCAAAACGTTCATTCTATGTATTATTTAGTATATTAAGAGAAAATACCACTTTTTCTTTCTTGTTACTACTTCATTTTATTGATCTTCAGAAAGTTATTGATATTTTCATTTTTCTTTTCTCTTACACAACTCTGTGTTGAATATAAAGTTTAATCAGCATGAATTTCTTGAATAAAAGTAATCGTTAAATTAGCCTGTAAATCGATGTTGCGATAATAAAAGTTCCACATTTGAGCATTAAATACCAATGCTTCGCCTGCATTCAATTCGAAATTATGGTCTAAACAGAAATCCTTGCAATGTCTTAATGTGGTGAGTCGCCCAGAAATTTGACCATTCAACTGGAGAACAATCACAAGGTCTTTTACTGGTAGTCGCTTTTCGATAGGCATTCCGTAGTGTTTTGATAGGATAATCCAACTGGTGTGAAAGGGTGGAAGATGTGAAGATATGAAATATGGTCGATTTTTTAGAGAGAATGTGGCACGACTCGCTTTTACCGCTTCGAAGTCACAGTTACGAAAATGCAAAAACCATCCTTTTGACTCAACTTTGCCGGTTTGACGCAAGAGATATTGTAATTTTGGTGAATCGTCACGAATTTGCACCAAATTTGTTCCAATATTGCATGGAGTCGAGTACTTTAAATTGGGTGATGATAGCAAAAATTCGATGAAATCCTCCAGAACATCAGGTTGATTCGGCCAAATACCATGGGAATCATTTATTATCACCGGATGGTCGCGTGATAAGTATACATCTTGCAAGAGGCCGAATGTTGCATCTGATACTCGATCGATTGAAACTAAAAAAATAAGAAAAAATGTGATGTATTGAAATGCATCTAATAAAGACGACTTTTTCACCGTTAATCATCAACATTTTATTGTGCTGTTGGTTTTCACCAATAAAAAAATTTCGACAAAATTCACGAAGAGTCTTACAAAATATTCCATATGTTACTTCATTTAACGAAAAAAACGCTCAAACTTACCTAAATTCTCACAAACGGCACAATCGTCCCTATTGAGCTCGCCGTAATCGTTGTATTCTTCTGTGGATGTTGTCTTTCCATCTCCGAATTTCTCGACTAAACACCTTGATTTGTACAGATGTTGCCAGTCATAATAGGGCAGCACATGCTTAATCAACACCAATCGTCCAATTGCTGAGGCATTCCAGTTCAAAATTGGAATGTAGTAAATCGACGCACAAACAGTTGCAATTGCAATTAAAACGAATATCATGCATTTAATATATCTCCGCAACAATGAGAATCGGACATAAGTTTTCAAGTATTTTTTGACCTCATCACTTCCATCTGAATTGGATAAAATCACCTCCAGCTCACTATTCAGCACAGTAGATAATTTTTCCAAGTCCGACATTGTAGAAGATATTGAAACGTTTCCGACAACAATCCTGATCAAACTGTTGCTCTGTGAATTTAAACAGAACAAATCGAAGTTTTGCAAAATAAGCGCCTGCGCATATCATGACAACATTTTCTCTTTCCTCAACAAAACAGAAATATTTTCTTTTGCCTTATGAAACTTCATTCAAGCAGAAATAATCAAATGAACTTCCAATTTTCCATTTGATTTGGCTATCAGCTAAGTGCAGATGCGACTCATTGTATGACGAATGAGCCGTTTTTTGGGTGGGTGCAATTGGAAATTGTGATTAGAGCGGATATTCTTTTCGATTCAATGGAAGATAGAATGAGTTGATTGGATGAAATCCAGAGGAGGAGAGTATGAATAACAAGGGGCAGTTCACTGAAAAGTTGTATTACTTTTTCAGCAGCGTTGTATGAGTGATTTGGAAAAAAACAAGTATGAGTGAGAAAAGGTGGTTTGTGTTCCTCTTGAAATAAGGTGATATCGATATTTTCGGTTTAAACATCTGTTAATCAAATATTCATTGAAACATTTTTGATAACTAAAAAAAATAAATTCGTCTTATCGTTCACAGGTTATGCCAATGCCAAAATTTTTAAATGCGACAACCCGAAATGTGCTCGGCCAGTGTGCTACACATCGGGCGGTTCAAGCAAAGATGACAGTTTTCCATGCTATCGGCCAAACTGTTCGGGTCGTTTCCAATTGGTGCGTCATGTTAGTTTCGTCGATTGCCCCGGTCACGACATTCTCATGGCAACTATGTTGAACGGTGCCGCTGTCATGGACGCCGCTTTCTTGCTCATTGCCGGCAATGAATCATGCCCACAACCACAAACGTCAGAGCATTTGGCCGCCATTGAAATCATGAAATTGAAGCATATTTTGATTTTGCAAAATAAAATCGATTTGGTGAAAGAGTCACAAGCCAAGGAACAATACGATCAAATCGTAAAATTCGTTCAAGGTACGGTCGCTGAAGGCGCACCAATCATCCCAATTTCGGCTCAATTGAAGTATAACATTGAGGTAAGCCGAGTGACAACAAAGAGTGAAATTGATGTTCTTCGAAAGAGAAACCAACATCATTATACCCTTGATTTTCATTCTAAACAAACCAATATAACCCTTGTCTCCGATTCCATTTTAGGTACTCTGCGAATACATTACGAAGAAAATCCCGATTCCAACCCGCAACTTTACCTCTCCACCACGTTTGATTGTCATCCGTTCGTTCGACGTCAACAAGCCGGGTTGTGAAGTGAACGATCTGAAGGGTGGTGTTGCTGGTGGTTCAATTTTGCGCGGTGTCTTGAAGGTTGGCCAAGAGATTGAAGTGCGTCCAGGTTTGGTGAGCAAAGATTCCGAAGGAAAATTGACATGTCGCCCGATTTTCTCGAAGATTGTGTCACTCTTTACCGAACAAAACGAATTGAAATTCGCCGTACCAGGAGGTTTAATCGGTGTAGGTACCAAAATCGAACCGACTTTGTGCCGTGCCGATCGTTTGGTTGGTCAAGTTTTGGGAGCTGTTGGCGCTTTGCCCGATATCTTCATTGAATTGGAAGTTTCGTATTATTTGTTGAAACGTTTGCTCGGTGTTCGTACTGAAGGCGATAAAAAGGCAGCCAAAGTGCAGAAATTGTCAAAGAACGAAATTCTTCTCGTTAACATCGGTTCACTCAGTACTGGCGGTCGAGTTGTCGCAACCAAAGCCGATTTGGCCAAGATCGCACTTACCAATCCGGTCTGTACAGAAATTGGCGAAAAGATTGCACTCAGTCGGCGTGTCGAGAAACATTGGCGGTGAGTGATGTTTTACGTTTTTTGTTCTTTTTTTCCAATCAAAATTTCATACTCTTCAATCAATTGAGGATTACATTCATGATATGAAGAAACTTAACATTTATTTATGTCTCGTTGCAGGTTAATTGGTTGGGGTCAAATTCGAGGCGGAAGCACAATTCAACCAGCCAACAATGCACCATCGAAATCATCATAGGGTCCATCTTACGAATTGTACATCATTCAGATAGATCAGACAGAGAACTATAATATAACCTTATTATGGAAATTCCTCAATATGATTTGTTTTTTATTCTCTATCAAAAACAAAATAAATCAAAAAAATTGCAAAACATGGAAAATTTATTCGGTAGTTGGCTGGGTGTTTTATTTGTCGGTTTAGTTTTTCATGGATAAAGTAGATACAAGAGAGATTTTTGAATTTGTTTCACAGTTTTTGTTTTGTTTAAACAGAGGTTTGCTTTTCTTGGCGGGAATGTTTTATGTACATTCTACATGAATGATTGATACAATCCAACACTTCCAAGCCAATTATGCCATAACTTTTCGATATTTCTCTTGTAAATTAAGTTGAAATAGATCTTTTTGCCGTCATCATACGTCGTCGATAAATATGCGGCATTACCACTGGTTAAACCATCGCATCGTTAGCCGTTGAACACATATCAGCGAAGAAAGCACTGAAATAAGCATGGAAATAAGTTACCCCAAATCAAAACACCAGGATTTATTGACATCAATGGCGATTTGTAATCAAATCGATCACGTGTTTATTTAAGTAAATTGTGAACAAAATCGACATAATTGTATAAGCCACTAAACTAAACTAGCGAATTGTAAGAGGTATTTTATGTTTAATTATTGTAATTCTCGAATTTTTTTCTTATGCTACATTCATTTTGTTTAAATGTCACAGCACATATCGATCATGAATTATTTACAAATGGAATTAGCCGATTGAGAGTATGTTTTGATCATGCATTGAATTACGTACGATGAAAAAGATTTACTGTTTTCCACGAACGTATGGCCAATTGGAGTCCTACCAGCATGTCAAGAGCTTCGCAACTGAAATCAAATGAGAATCCGAAATGAAGAATTGAATATATTGTGAAATCTTAGTTTTTTTTAATTCTTACGCTATCATTGTTTCATTCAAATTGTGACCCCATACGAACATTCCCATTTTTTCCACGATGACTGCTGGATATTTTGGTGTTTTTGGCCCGCATAGTTCCAGAATTTCTTCTTGCAACTTCTCCTCAGCTTTCATCGAATTCAAATTCTTCACAAGCGGCACAGTAACGGATTCAGATGGTTTGAATTTGCGGTCTTCGATCCAATTGTAGATATTCTGGGAAAAAAGACATTCAAAATGTGGAAATTGAGATAAGCGAAAGAAACAACTCACTTTTGATGCATAGTGACCGTTCCAGTTCACCTCAACTGGTGCCGTGCCATCCAGATTTTCACACATCAATAGAACATTCTGCGATTGGATGTTTATTACTGTGTCAAACTTCCATGTCTTGTACGGGAGTTTGAATGGGTGGAATAATCTAAAATAAATTACGAAATGAATATGGATTTGATTTGCTAACTTACTGATAAAATTTACCCATCAATTTCATCCAATTCTCTTTGTACAACGACTCCTTCTTCCAAGTAGAAAACGCTGGGAGAATTTCTGAAGAAAAATAATAATTTTGATGAATTTATACTTTTTTGCAACTCATGCAAATGTGACATACGTAAATTGATGCGAAATTGATGCCACCACAAGAACCGCCGAATATCAGTCCGCGATCACGATATTTACGGTTTGCTTCGATAATTCCTTGGTATTCCTGAAACTCAATATGATTTAAAATGATTGATATACAAACGATTTTCAAATTGTTTCGAACAAAATGAAAAACTTACGTCCATTTCCACTGAGATGTTGAACCAAACAGAACACAGATACATCAAGTGACAATTCATGTCGCGCGCCCATGGTTTGTATTATTGATAGAAGGTGGCGCATGTGCGAGTCGCTAACATTCTAAAACAAAGCTGGGTTTACATTGAATACAAATTAAGTACTTATAAACTACATATTTAATTTGTCTTTTCGACGAACATTTACATATAATTCATTTGAATTATTCTTCAATTTTTGAACATTCAATCACAATGAAAAGAAGTTTGTTCAACGCAAGTGATACAATCATATTTATTTCATTTTTGAATGTGCAAACATATCGCGTCAAAGTAGAGTCAGATGGTTTTTTAATTGAAAACTCCACAGATTTGTAAGGTAGTTTCCAATTGCATTTCTTGCAGTTCAAATGTGTTTGGCCTTCAGCCATTATTTTGTGTGCAGTGGTATGCGATGCAATTACATCACAGAAAATTGGAAATCCCATATAATCCAGACAACCTTCTCCTTTTATTACAAGTTTCTTGATTGATTGACAACGTTCCAGAAAACGAAGAACACTACACATTAAGGTGTGACGCGGATCGTATCTTATTATTTTTGGATAAATAAATTTATAATGCAAAATGCTCAGCTCTTCAATGTTTGATAATATATATTCCGATTCAAATAATGCGTCGAGTTTGCCAATCATATGGCCGTACAATTCGATGGATGTCAACTTATTGTTTCTATGTATGAGATTCAAAAGAGGCTGATATGCGTTGATATCGTCAAAATTCACATCACATGACAGAGAAATGCGTTGCAATTTACTAAACGTAAATAAATTAAAATTGAATGTTCCCCGCAATTCCAATCGAAAATCCACAACGTTATTGAAATGAAATGGTTCATGATTGTATACAACGAGTGGTGACAGATCTTTACACATATTGGAAATAGAGAACGTTTTAATAGCTGGCAAATATTCTGTTACGCCCTGAATATAACTTAGTGCACAATTTTCGTCTAAAAACAATTTTAGTTCTTCTAATTGTGGATTTAGTTTGATCAATTCCATAAATGTATCTTTTTGAAGTGACTTTTTATGATATGTACGAAGTGATAATTGCTTTAAATTTGGCAAATGTTCTAATACTGACCAATTCTCATATTCATTGAATTCTAAACATAAAGACTCTAAATTTGGAAAGCATTTTTTAAATAGTTTTGACCGGATTATGCAGCTTCTAACCACAATGGATTTAACATTTGTTAACGGTTTTTCAATATTTTCGAAAACAAAATTTCTATCGCATACGAACAATTTTTTCAATGATTTCGAACAATATTCAGCCAAGTAAACTTCAATATTGGGCTCATGATCTCCTCCTCTTCCACTGTAATGTAATTCAATATTCGCTATTTTGTGTCCAAAATTCCGTAATACTTTTAGAAGTATCAGTTGAGATGTAAGGGGGAGGACCTTATTTGTATCAGAAAAATAAAATGGGGGACACATCGGATTCACTTCTGGAAAAATTCTAATTTCAAAGAAAAGATGTGAGCTACTTACAATTTAATATGTATCGATTAGTAAGTAAATATATTACCTTGGCAGATCACCCTCTCGTCCATATCTAATTATTTTATTGCCATATTTTCGTTTGAAAACAGCAGAGGCGGCCGTAATTAATTGCTTACTCGTCTCTGCAATACTCAACAGATCCCTTAGCTCCAAATAGTCGAATATTAGCTTTTTGCAATCATTATTCATAGTGACGAGGTTTAATGGTACACATTTCCCCAATAACATTTCTTTGAAATCATTTGATTCCATTGCGATGTGCAATAATTGTGTGCAACTTAACAGCTATACGCCAATAAATTCCTTTGAAATTTTCCTTTATTGAAACACTGTAGTTCCTCAAGGGGAGATAACGGTTAATGAATATCAATTTTCATGCAGAAATTTGGCACAATTTTTACAAACTTATCTAGATACCGAACTGTCTCTGTAATTTCATTATTAACAAATGGCTAAACAGAAAAGACAGAAAAACTGTTTGACATTTCCACTTCTAAGAATATACCCTTTTCGACTGTGTGTGTATGTGTTGGAAAATACAATAAGCTAGTCTAGTACTTCAGCAAAAAGCACCACAGTCACACGTTCGTTTGTATTTACTTTCTAGAAAATGTTCAAATCGACTTGAATAATAATAATTATTTTTTTTAAGATTTCAGTTATTTATTATTGTTTGTATGGACACTGAATTCAACTAAAAACACGCATACAAGCAAGCGAGCGATACGACATTTAAGAAAATTCCCTGTTTCATAACGGTTCATCAAGTGGTTCACTGATTAAATGTAAGTACTTGACCAGTGATGCTGAGAATTCCAAGACAATGGTAAAATTGGCAACTCTACTTTTGTGACGTTATAAAATGTAACATCTTATTAAATTTATACAATGAAATTTATAAATTAAATATTACTAATTTTATACTATTTTAATAGGTTGCGTCTTATTGGGAAAAAAATTTAATAATTCTGAGTTAATAAAACTTTTTATTAAATTAAATAGTATTGAATTACAGTCAAACCTTCCAATGACGGAACCTCTATAAAGCCGAAACCTCCAGTTAGCGGATTTTTTTCCGCCGTTGACGGTTCCCCTTCAGGATGACCTCCGAATAGCGGAATTTTTACCTCCAGTCAACGGAAATTCGCTCGATTGGCCAGAATTTTTTAATTAAAAAATCATATAAAAATTAATATTTTGCTCTTCAAATACGCCATATCAAAGTGTATAAAATCGATATGCATGCACGTCGAGGGAGAAATCATTTAAAAGTAATTGAAATTTTACAAGTAATTACGATAATAGAAAAGTAACTTTTAAAGTATGGAAAAATGGTGAAAATAGTGAATTATTTCAAAATAATGCGTTATTAAGGTATCGTTGTTTCATCACAAATCGATAGATCGTAAAATTTTGGGCCGGTATGCCCATTTTCAGGAACCGATTTTGTCGTTAACCCAAGAAAACTGCGACCCAAAGGTGTCATTAGTACCCATTTTTCGAAGGTTCCCAAATAACGGGGCATATCTCAGAAACTATGGAAGATATCGGTTTACTATCTATAAGGAAATTGTAGAGGGCGTCAAAAACAATAACTTTGATCTGTTTATTTTATGGATTTCACCTGTAGATGGCGCTCGAAATCAAAATTTTTAATTTAGTAATTTTTACTAAAATAACGGTATTTTTCGATTCAACACATCAGCCTTAATTGTTGCTTTTGACGCCCTCTACAATTTCCTTACAGATACTAAACCGATATCTTCCATAGTTTCTGAGTTATGCCCCGTTATTTGGGAACCTTCGAAAAATGAGTACCAATGACACCTTTGAGTCGCAGTTTTTTTGGGTTAACGGCAAAATCCGTTTCTGAAAATGGGCATACCGGCCTAAAATTTTACGATCTTTCGATCTGTGATGAAAAAACGACACCTTAATAGCGCATTATTTTGAAATATTTCACTATTTTCACCATTTTTTCATACTTTCCGGTATGGGTTAATTTTAAACCCTTAGTCAAACATTTTCACAGTTTTTGGATTGGAGGATCTAGTGGGCCTCAATATCTTTCCAATGTGCGAAAAATCATGCATTTATGTCCAAAAGTGGGCTCAGAATGGCTTGTGGCGTAGAAGCACGGCGGCGCGGCCAGAAATACGCCGACGGCCAAATCTTTGGTATAGAGGCCGAATTCGGAAAAGTGACCTTACACATTTTCACTCCTCATGAGCAAAGGAACTCGTCGTAGAGAGACTAGCATGAAATTTTGAATCACCCTGTATAGACAAATGCACTGTCCCAAAATATCCGAAAAATTAAATTTGTGACGTCTGAAATATTTGTGACAAATGTCCTAAAATTGTCCCAAAAATGTCCTAAAGAAATTTTTGTCAATTTGTGGCGTTCCCTGAAAATATCCAAAAAATATCCCTTTGGGTCTTCCGCCTACCAAGACCTTTCCAATGATGTATAGCACATGCAAATCGGACAACACGTTCGCCCACAAAACGCGACTTTATTTTTAGTCTTAAGAAAATAACTAAATCAATAAGCTCTACATTTCATGTAGTGCCTAAAAAAAATAAGGTAAATGTCATCAATAGTTTGGTTATGTCTGTTCGCCATAAACCACATCCCCGAGTATTCTTGAATACATTATCGTGAAAAATGAAAATTTATCGTTAATAAAATAAAAATGAAGATGGATTAACCCTCTAATGCATTAATTTTTCTCAGGGCTAGGAGCAGAGCCATTTCTAGCGGGGGTTCAAGTGGTTCAAAGAACCAAGGCGCACGAGCGCCGCAGGCGCTCGTGGGCGCTCGGACTTGAAAAATTTCTGGAATTTTCTGAAAGTTGCGCAAGGGTGCCGAAGGCGCTCGAGCGCCGTTTCAATTCAAATTTGGAACACAAGGGAAGCAATTCTTTATTTTAAATAGAGAATATATTATTTCAAAATAAATAATCGCTTTATTGATTGTTTTCGTCGCCTCTGTCTTTTTCGGTGCCGTTGAGTTTCAAACTGAGAAGACGAATGCATAGAATAGAGCGCTTGATAAAGTTTAATGGTATGAGTTTTGATTCGAACAAGTGGCAATTAAAACGGCGTCCTAAAAAAGTGCTAAACAAAACGAAACCCAGCGTTTTTTCTCATATGGAGCTATTGAACTCTATGTAGAAAAAACTATGTGTTGCATTCAATACAGCGACCAATTCAGTACGATGTTTTTATTCTCGGCGAATCATTTGTACACACGTAAGTAAAAATATTGTTATTGAATGTGTCGCTCATCGACCAGCGGTATACTGCTATTTAAGCACACTGGCACATGAAAACATCAGCCGCACAGCGAAAATTTAAACAAAAATTTGGGTAAAGGCCTAGTGTCACATACAACTGAAACTGAAACTTAAACTGAAAATAATTCAATGCAAAATGTATTGAAAGGCCCCTCTGACAACAGCGACAGAAACTAAATTCAGTACATTTTGCGACTGAAACTGAAACTAGTCCTCTTGACTTCTTTCTGTTGCTGTGAACAACTGTAGTGCAATGTACTGAATTCAGTTTCTTTCGCTTTTGGCAGAGGAACCTTTCAATACATTTTGCATTGAAATATTTTCAGTTTCAGTTTCAGTTGTATGTGACACCAAGCCTTAAGTATTTATTTGAAATTGAATTATGACGAATCGCCGCGCTATTATCGCGCTGTCAACTCTATCAAATGCATCAATTGCCACATTATTTCTCTGACTCTATGCATTAACACATTTCGTCCACAAATTATTCATCGAAAATTCAAATAAATTCGAGCCTTTATTTTTCTCTGCCAAAATGAATTTCGGCAAAAAGGCTTCTGGTGCGCAAAATAGGAAAAGACAGCTTGAAAAACAAGCGGCTGATCATCAAAAACGTCGAGCGGGTGGGTAGATTACTATTAGAAACGCTTTAACGCATGATGGAAAATTCGATATCGATGGTGATGATTTATCTGTAGAACTTTCATTGGTTCCAACTTTGGTAAATCAGGATAATATTAATCACGCAATCGATATACTGAATTCAATTCAGAAGCGAAAAATGGAAAACTTAGTTCCAAATGCAATCATCTGGCAATCATATCAATAGAAAGCGATGTAGCAAATTCGATTCAATATGACGATGTGATTGAAGAATTTGCCAATTCAAAAGCGAGAAAAAAGACATTTCTTTAAGTCATTTTAATGTATCATTTTTTTGTTGCTTTTCAAATAAACTTGGATCAAATGTATCATTTTTGCGTTTTTTTCACACACTTTTAAAAATTCCGGTTTGAAAGGGCGCCAACGTATTTTGAACCAGGGCGCCAGCGAAGCTAGAAATGGCTCTAGCTAGGAGTACTGGTACTTGGTTGATTTTTGGCCGTAGATAATAAAAAAAATATTCATAATCCTAGATTCCTCATGGTTTTGTCAGGAAATGCGATTGACATAAACACAGTGCAACACATGATTGAGGGACTCACTTAAACCAATCGCTTCTGAAAGTACTCATCAAAACTAGAAATTCTGCATCATTCGTTTTGCCAAGTTGGTTGACAGGTGAATTTATATGAATTTTTGCATTTTTAGCTCAAACTGGATTTTGAGCACTTTTGCGATATTTTCACAAGGCTATTTCTCGGTAAACCGTAAGGAATATTGCTTTTGTGTCTTCAGCAAAGTTGTAGGTATTGAATCAGAGAAAAAAAATGCAGAACAAATCTACCCCAAAAAATGCACCCAGGGTCTCAAAATCGCAAAAATGCCCATTTTTTACCATTTTTCAACCATAACTCGCAGCTTATTCAATTTTTATGGCCACTGTCTTCATTAATTTTGTAGTCAACGTATAACTGGACAACTTTGCTCAACATACTAGCCCAGAAAAATCATGTTCTATCTACTTTTTTGGCTCAAAATCACTCTTTGCTACCAAAAATGGTCATTTTGTTGTGAATTTTGGCCTATTACATGCAAATATCTATACATCTTTCCACATTTTTTGCTTGAATTTTTGTTAGAGTGTCTCCATGGATAATGTGAACTTGTTTTTTAGCTATTTTAGTGGAAAAGTTCACTAATTTGTAGGTATATTTCTAGTTTTGGACCAATTTTTGAGCGTTTGGTGGACATTTGGCCAAATGAAGTCATGAAAACAGCCATATTTCAGTTTCTAATGTATGCTACACTAAAGCGTATGTTCACAGCTAAAAAATAGGGCCAATACGATTCGCCTATGATGTCCAGTTTTGAAGTTATGGCTTCCCAAGTGATGACATGCTCATTTTTTACACTATTTTGGCCTTTATTATCACTTGAGCAGCCATGAGTGCCCTACCAAATGTCATAGGCAGGTCGCATTAGCCTTATTTTTCAGCTATGAACATCAGCTTTAAAATGCCATACCGCTTAAACTGAAATATATTCTGTTCAGGCGTTCAAATTTTGCCCGTCCAAAAGGTGGTTGAATGCATTAGAGGGTTAAAATAGTTTGGTTTGGGCTCGATTGCGTTTTTTTTTTCAAATACGGAAATTTGTATAGAATTCATTTTACTTTAATACTCAGATAAAACTTACTTCAAGCTTAACCCTCTACTGCACCATTTTTTACGGAGTAAAGGGGAGTCACTTTAAGCTAATTTTGGGGCGTAGACTACGAAAAAAATATTCATTACCCCAGATTCCCCATGGTTTGGTCAGGAAATGCGTTTGACATATTCAGAGAACAATGGATTCCATTGTTTAAAAGTGTCAACATTTTGTCTAATTTGGAATCCAAATAATTAATTTTGTCAAATTTCTGTTTTCGCGCAAATTTTTGTTCATAACTCCACAATACTACGTAGGCAAATAGTTCAAAGGTCAAATATATGGAGAACACATTGACGAATAAAAATGCCTTTTGAAGCAATGTGATCCTACGTACGGATTACGTTATACAGACGTTCAAATGTTGCCCGCCTAAAGGCGGTCTTACGAATTAGAGGGTTAATTTTATATCTTTTGGTATTTCAAAACCAAAACATTTTGGTATTTCAAGAACAAAAAAATATTTTCCATTTCGGATTCAATTTTTGATGTGAGTGTAGTGGTTTGTTTAAAACGTTTGTTTGTTGGTTTGACAATGTCAAAAATTGACATGAACGTCTAATTACTTTCGTAATTTCCTAAAGAAATAGCGTGCCGAAAAGTAATAGAAAAAGTAATTTGACAGTTTTGAAAAGTAATTGAAAAGTAATTCAAAGAGAGATTTCCCCCTCGATGCACGTGCATGCTAGCGTTAGTTGAATTCATTATTTAGATTGCTCTGAAGTATTGATTGACCCATATTAAGCATATTTTTCATGTATCACAGATGTATAAACATCTGAATCGAGTGCAAAGTAAATCTTGTGCCATAATTTCAAAAATTTATTTTAATTTTGTGAGCGTGATTCATCCTTTGTTTTCGATTCTCTTATTGTGTTTATGGTTTTACTGGATGTTTACTTTTACTTTTCACTCAATTATTCATAAATAAGGAAGGTAATTGACTTTTTGACTTGAACTCCCAAATGGCGGAAACTTTGAATCTATACGATTTTTAAACCTCTCTTTAGCGAAAACTCTTTTTAACGGAAACCTCCGGATAACGTAAAAATATGGCACCATGCGATTTCGTCATTAGGAGGTTTGACTGTATTATTATAGATAAAAAAAATGAATATTCCGCAATTTAGTATTATTAAATTAGCCATTGAACAAATCAAAAAGTTCAATTACAACGATTTTCTTGCACATTTTTTTATGATGATTCGTATGCGACGTGCAAAACTGGATAAAACCGATAAATCGTATCAAACTGTAAACGATATTCTCATGAATGACATGAAATACTTGAGCTTCTATTATCGACGGTTGGATCAGTTACAGAATATGCACGAGTTCCAGCAACTCATTAACATTGTCACGCGATGGTATCATCATTCCAGACGATTCGCCGGTCGGTTGCAGTTGTACCGAAGATGGTGATGGTGATGGTGAACTATGGTCCATCAAATCTGACTGCTGTCCCAAGCAATTCGACACTCCATTTCCATATACAAAATGTGGCTTGATCCGTGTTTCACAAGGCACACCGGTTTTAGAGTGCAACAAGGCGTGCGTGCAAATGCTCGAAAAATTACCCGAATCGCGTGGGGTCACAAGGAAACATTGTGTATTTTCAAGACCAAAGAATGTGGATGGTTTATAGAACGAAGATACCGAAGAAGGAGGATTCATGTGCCACTAGCCAAATGCCAAATAATCATTTTTAGCTAGTGCTTTGCATAGGTTCAACTAAATGATACTCTACAAATTTTGTGCAAAGCGTTCATTCTATAGAATGATAGACATATGTAGATGTATTATTTAGTTCTTGTTCATGTAATTCTTCTATGTTCCTTGTTCGATGTTATTGATCTTATGTTGACGCAGTGGTTTTTATTATCAGCATGAATTTCCTGGATAAACGTGATCCTCAAATAAGCTTGTGAATTCACTACATGAAAAAAATTATTCAGAATTTTTCGTAGTATTTTATTTTTCTTTGTAATTTGTTTATGAATACAATTAATAATCGCATTTCAGACTACCCAAACAGAGGTTTACTTTTCTTGGCGGAAATGTTTAACTGTGTAATTTTTGTTTCCACATTTACATTTAAAATGTTTTATTTGTTTCTGGGGAGAAGATAGCTTAAGCAGCAGATTCGATGAGTTCCTTGTACTTCTTGATCTTTGAAGCGACGCTCATGTCGACGTAATTATCTCCGATTGAGGCAACCAATCCACCGATGATGGCTGGGTCAACCTTTTCCTTCAATTGAATAGTTTGGTTTGATTTCACGAATTTCTGCAATGAAACGAAAAAATGGGAAAAATTTAATGGGACTCTATGGATAGTAGGAGGAATTGAATTTTATTGTGTAAAAATTCTGCGTTTCAATTCCGAAAAAATGAAACAAATGAATCTGAAAGAAACTAAATTCAATCAGCTCAAGAACAAGATATGACAAAAAAAAATCGCTCAAATACTCACAGCCAAAGAAGATTGCAATTGTTTGCGTTGACCATCGCTCAATGGACGAGCAGTGGTGACTTCGCAAATGACTTCCCCGCGATGAGCCGACATCAATTGTTTGAATGCGTTAATGACACCGTCAATTTTGCCCATGCGGCCATTCTCGGCGAGCAACGCCAACAAATTGGTTGTGGCGGTAGACAAATTGGCTTTGGCACCAACATCTCTCAATGTGCTTTGCAAAAGAGTGCGGTTGATGATTGGGCTGGTGATGATAGCACGCAATTGTGGCTTTCCCTTGATGGCATTTTGTACTGAAATCAATTCCTTTTCGGCGGAATCCAATTGGCCCATTTTGGTGGCGGCCGTGTACAAAGCGGTGGCATAACGACCTTCCAAACCGAACAATTGAATTGGTGGCTTGACAGCAGCAGCACTGCTCGACATCGAGCGCACCTGTAACACGAAATATTATCAATTGAATTTTCTGCTTTACATAAACAGCACGTCATAATCACAAAAATGAGTACAAAAATAAGCACAAAACGTTTTCTTCTACAGAGACTCATCGGACTTTTTCTTTTCAATTGGTCGATGGGTTTGTTGTAGATTTTCTACTCAGTTTGACATTTGATTACATAATTTTTCACCAAAACCAGAATGAAAATCGTAAAATTCTCAAATAAAATGCAACAAATCCATCGACCAATTGCGATCAATCGATGAATTCCATAAAAATGTTTCAATTTTTTATTCACTTACAGTCATTCCTAAGCGTGAAGCCATAATTTTTATTTATTTTTCGTGTGGATTAAGTTGAAATAGAATCTTTTCGTCTTCGTACGTCGACCGAAACAGCAAGGAGAAAATTAAGGTTATCTGTCAAAATGACGCCCTCTGGTGAATCGATTCGTAGCTAGCGCATAATGTCATCGCCGCAATCGACCATTTGACATTTCAAAACGTTTTCAATGCATGCGAATTGGCCGTGGTGTTTGTTTTATTTATATTTTGTTAGAGGAAAAAATTGTCAATTGTGTACCAAGAATTTGGAATTATGAGCGATAATAAGCGGACCGTTTATGTCGGTGGGTTAGCGGACGAAGTTACGGAACAATTGGTTAACGATGCATTCATTCCATTCGGTGATATCGTTGAAATCCAAATGCCGGTTGACTACGAGTCACAAAAACACCGTGGATTCGCTTTTGTAGAATTTGAAACAGCCGAAGATGCTGCGGCGGCCATCGATAATATGGTAAATTATTGACTGAAAATTGTGATATTTTGGAAATAACCCAATTATTTAGTCATTCAATAGGGGAAAAATATTGCTGACTTTTGTTGTACCTAACCCATTCTTTTGAAGAAAAAAAATTGTAATTTATCCCAAATTTTCTCTTCTAGAACGACGCCGAATTAATGGGCCGTACGATTCGATGCAACATAGCCAAACCACAGAGAGTGAAAGAAGGCAGCACACGACCGGTTTGGGCAAGTGATGAATGGTTACAAAAGTTTTCCGGTGCTACGCTTACTGTTGACAAACAAGAAGCGACACCAACCACGAAAACCACGGAGAAATCCAGTGAGAATGGATCCAGCGACACGATACCTCAAAGCGAAGAAGTTGCACCAAAAGCAGAGACAGAACCTGAGAGCAATGAACCAAAACGTAATCCGCAGGTTTATTTCGACATCAAAATTGGATCGCACGACGCTGGTCGAATCGTTATTTTGCTTAGAGCAGATATTGTACCAAAAACAGCCGAAAATTTCCGCAGCCTATGCACACATGAACAAGGCTTCGGTTACAAAGGCAGTACATTCCATCGAATTATTCCAGAATTTGTAAGTTTTTTTTCTGGCTTTTTTACGGAAAAAATTCGAAACTTTTCGTTCAATATCAAACATTCTGAATCAATCCGTTGATTTAGTTCTGGGCAGTATTCTCATCGAATTTTTTCCGCCAATTTTTTTGATGTGATTCAGAAATCTTTTTAGTCAAACTTTGATAACACCTTTCTGTACCAAATTTTAGATGTGCCAAGGGGGAGATTTCACCAATCACAATGGAACCGGTGGCAAATCGATTTACGGGAAAAAGTTTGCTGACGAAAATTTCATATTGAAGCATGGTAACTTTGGAAGCCTTTCAATGGCAAATTCCGGACCGAATTCGAATGGCTCACAGTTTTTCATCACAACGACCAAGTAAGTATCGGGGAAAATGCAATCAATATCTTTGGAAGTTTTAGAAACGATCTTACAATGGAGATGTTTCTAAGTAAGATGAAAAAACGTAACTTAGGAACTTTTATTATCTCGCTTTCAATCAATTCGGCCTCAATTTTGTACACTCCTTTCTGTGAACTTGACCTTTTTTCTTTTTTCCCATTTCCAGAACGGATTGGTTGGATGGTAAACACGTTGTCTTCGGTCATGTCATCTCTGGAGCTGAGGTCGTACGGAAAATGGAGAAAATTGGATCCAAAAGTGGCTCTCCTTCACAAAAAGTTTCCATTTCTGCTTGCGGCGAATTAAAATAACATCTCTTTTTTTGTAAAAACAATTTTAATTTCCCATAAAAAATTAAGTAAACAATTGGAATGGTACTGTTTCATTTTTCATAGTGTAGATGGATATAAGCAAATGATAAGTCTTTTAAAAAGTCTCATTTTTCGATCTAAGCATAAAGGCTAGCTGCGTCTTGATCCAATAGCCAAACAAGTGCTCCAGGTGATGGTTTCACTAATCCAGCTGGCAATTGCTCTTTTTCCTTGAGAATACGCTGTTTGAAAGAGAGAAAATGATTGAATGGAATCTTCGTATTTAAAACGTTTGTACTGTTCCTCCCTCATCTAATTTGTCATTGGTTTGATTTAGAGTCGAAATTTGCAGTCAATTTTGAGTCTGGTCAATTGCAATTTTTTTCGGTCTTGCAGCAGTGCAACCAATTCAACAGCTCTTTAGCTTAAACAATATCTACACTCGTTGTGTGTATCAGAAAGTAATAAACCAAATTCGACTGACCTTGATCATCTCAGCTTTGCCTTTGCCGCTGATTGGGAACAAGCAAACTTTGGCTTGGTTGATCAATGGATAAGTCATCGTAACACGTGCAGGTGGTGGTTTTGGTGAGTCTGAAATTGGTGCAATCAATAATGCCTCTTCCTTAAGTAACGGGTGTCCTGGGAACAGGGAGCAGGTATGGCCATCCGGGCCCATTCCCAAGAGCAATAAATCGAATTGCGGAATTTCTGGCTGTGATAAAAGAGATCAATTTGGTTATTTTTGTTTATCTAGAGCGAAGATATGAAAGTATAACGATGACTGAAAATTGAAATAACCTCAACACATTCTTCACCAACAAAAATTCATTTCTTATTTGTCTCTACCAACCTTTGCAATGCCAAACTTGTCAAAAATCTGCTGTTCATAGTCTTTTGCGCAGTCTTTCAAGCTCAACGAGCGATTGATGATCACGAATTGCGATTCGGTGAGTTGAGTCTTTGGGAGAAATAGCTTTTTGTACTGACCAAATGTTGAGTCTTCATCGGACTCATCAACGAATCGTTCGTCGCAAAAGTAGAGTTGCCATTTTGACCAATCAGTCTTAGCATTCTCAGCACCATTGGCCAAATATTTAATCAATGAACCACCTGATAAACCAATGCGAAATACGGAATTCTCTTGAATTGCTGCGTTAGCCGATTTTTTAATCAAATTCCACAAACGCTCAATGACGCTGCTTTCATTATGCACGATAATCACCTCCATGTTGACCGAAAATTACGATTACTCTGCAAATTTTTACTCCAAAAAAGTGATTAGATTGACCGAAGCCGGTGACACTGAGATTAAATTGATTAGAAATGTTAATCAGTGTTCGATGTAATTTGACAGTTGACTCAGCGGCATCTGACGATTGCGATCCGAAACATAACACGATCGTTGCTTGAGACAAAGGATTTTGAACGATTTTGCTGTAAATGAGGGAAAAAAAATCTATGATGATTCATGAAGACTGAATTGAAGGCAAGATTTGATTGACTCTTCACCAACAAAAGCAAAACCAATTTCAATTAAAAAAACATAGACAATTTTAGTTTTTCTCAAAAATACCATTGAAGCATAATTTCACCAATTTTATTTCATATGTTTTATATATTGTCGGGAAGAAGCTTAATATTCAATGACAATTACAATTGAAACTAAAGAAATCGGTTAACGCCTGAATAATTATGTAGCGTCTTAGAATACTGATCTATTTCAATAATGTGTGTGAGAGACAGACAGAAAAAGAAGGGCATTTTGTTCAGTTGCTTAAAGTTAAATTCTTGATAGTAGGTAAATTAATAAAAGTATTTTAATGTAAACAAATTGTGAAAAAGTTCATTCAAAGTTTCTTGCGATTGGCGGCTCGTAGATTTTTCTCGATTTCAAACTGTCGTAGATCGGTTCGCTGGAGAAAATCTTGTCGTTCCAAATAACCATCGCGACCTTTATTGAATGTTTGTATCTCTTCGTCGATGCCTTCGGACTGTTTGAAACCGCCCCAATCCAATTTTGTTTTCTCCAGTATGCTCAATTTGTTCGTCTTGCCGATTTGTCCAAGGACAGAAGAGAGACCGCTGCCACCGCTGGAACGAGGTCGATTGAATGGTAGATTTGGTCCTGGTTTAGCGGTCGTTTTCTTTGGATCTGCTTCATTTGAAGCGGCCGGTTTTTCATCCGTTACTTTTACTTTTTTTTTAACCTCGACTTTCTCGCCAGCAAATTCAAATATTTCGGTCACAATCTTTGTCTTTTCGGTGCTAGAGGATGGAGTTTCAACTTTTGGCTTCTCCCTTTCTTTCTCTGCCTTCGATGAACTTCCATTCGAAGCAACTGTCTTGCTGGGTTGGCTCGGCTTCGATTGTGTTGTCGCTGGTTTCGCCGTGGCCTGTCCACTTTTACTCAAGAAACTTGCCCATAACGCCTCCTCATTCTCGTCATCATCATCATCAACGAGTTCATCTTTTTCTGTCGTTGAAGAGGACACCACATCTTCCGATTGTCTGGTTCTTTTGGTGGCGACTGGTGTTAGTTCAGCTGCTGGACGCTTGTTCTGGCCACGTTTTGATTTTGCATCTTTTTCATCATCATTTTCTGGCTCACCGTCGGATTCCACTTCGCTGGCAACATCTGAACCATCAACACCCGGGTTGTAGTCTTCATCACTTTCATCAGTATCGCTTGCGTATTGTGCTTCGTCCAACATTTTCAAAGTTTTTGAATTTACACTAAAAAAAAGTAAATCGATTGAATTCAAACTGTTAATTGTACATTCCAGTTGAATAAAGTCGACGGTGATGACATACAATTACTACCCGACACACACACACAACAGCTTGCATTCAATGTGAACACAATGAAAATGCTTATACAATCTTATCCATATAATACACAAACTATTTTGCTTACCTATTTTACAGAATAATTTACTATAGTAAATCGTGTAGTTCGGATTGTCACAGAACGGCTGCAATCGTTTGAATAAGAAAATACTTCTTGTTATTTTGCTAGAAAATTCAAAATGTCTCAAGCTTTTTTTGGCGATTTTATGATAAACTAACGCGGCAACAGCATCAATTCACACACTATTTCAACACATCGTATCCATTCAGTTTGGAACTGTCAAAACAAATCAAACTAGTACGTTAATGCAGTACAAGAGTTAGCCCAAATGTTTTGTTGTCCCAGAGTTTTCTGGTGCAAAAGCAAATATTCAAATATCGCACATTTCATCGTTGAATTTAAATTGGTTTTTATTTGAAAAATGAGTGAAAATCCATTTTCAATTCATACATACATATTAAAATTATATAGGATGTACATCGAAAAAAGGTGACAATGCAATAGCAAGAAAATTTAATTGGTCTTCGCAATTTATGTGCTTTACAAGATTTATGCATGTAATGCTACTCATTCATCAAATGAAAAATAAAGTGATTTTCTCCATTAATTATGATTAATCATCAGTTGCACTGTCGTCGCTGTTTTGTAATTTTTCCATCTGCTTGGCCACATCTTCAGCGGAGTATTTATAAATGATACTTTTGATTTCCAACTTGGCTCGCTTCTTCGATGGACCATCTGGTATGTTGCTCAATACAGACGAGATGAAGTTGCTAAAATGCGAATCCTTTTACGGGATTTCAAACACCGGCATTGGTATTGGTTGCAATTCAGGCAGATTCAGTGGTGGTGGCAATGGAAATTTGGACGATGAGCTCGGTACATAAGACGACATTGGTGGTGAGTCATAATCAATAAATGAACTTGCCATTGTGAATGTTGATGGATTATATTTGGGTGTGGTCATCGGAGTTTTGATTCGAACCCGAGTCCGAAGCAACTAAATTTGACATCGATTGGTTTTGTGTGGTTTCATTCACATCAAGAGTGGTGTAAATGTATTTATGTGACTGATCCTTGTAAAAGTACGTCATCGCTTTACGATACATCATTTCCATCGGGCATAAATCAGTGTCTTTGTATTTTCGCTTTATAGGCCTGGACATAACAAGGTAGTTGGTCAACTGGCAACTGATGCAAATCCCATAAAAGAAAGTAAAAAAACCGATTGAAGGATTAAAATTTCAGTTAAACAAACGAAAAATTAAGACAAACAAGAGTTGTTCTGTTTCGTTACGCATTGAATTTTCTTCAACTATTCATTTAAAAAAGTGCAAACATATCCAACGTAAATTCTAATGAGCTCTCAATATCGATTCAATACATTGTAATCTATGACTGAAAATCCGTTTCCAATTCTTGTTTTTATACATATCGAAATATACGTGTAGGTAAATTGCCTACATTGCCAAAAAGAGCTCTCAACCTCAATATTGAAGAGAAAAATGAAAAACCGAACATATTTTATTTCTAAAATAAATTTAATTGATATTTGAAATGTATGTATTTGTTGGTTTTAAACAAAATCATTTGGATTTTTTTGGCACTACGGAAAATGAAATCGAATATTTTTAATGAAAATTAGTAAAAAAAAGACATTCTGTCAAAAAAATAAATCAGTCATCAGAGTCATGGCTGTCTTCATTCATTTGCTTGGCCAAGTCTTTAGCGGAAAATTCCTTGATGATGCGTCTAATTTCCAGTGTGGCTTGCTTTTTCATCTGTTCGTCTGGAATGTTGTCCAATGCAGACAAGAACGACTTGCCAATACAAGATGCTTGTGTCGGCATCCCATACAGCGGCAACGGTTGAAAATCAGGCAGAGCCAGTGGTGGTGGCGTGACAAATTGTGACGATGAACTGGACACATCAAATGGAGACGGTGTTTTCGGCGAGTCATGACGAGTGAATGGAAATGGCATCGTGAATTTCGTCGAATCGTTTCCGATATTCATTTGTGTGCTGACATTGGATTTTCTATTCGAACTTGAACTCGAAGAAAATGAACGAAACATCGATTGAGTTGTACTGGTTGAATTCACATCGAGAGTGCTGTCGATGTAATCATGCGCCTGATCCTTGTAAAAGTACGTCATCGCTTTGCGGTATAACTTTTCCATTGGGCGCAAATCAGTGTCTTTGTATTTACGCTTTCTTGGCATGGACACAACAATTTTGCTGCTCATCGAGTCATCGGTTTGGTCAAGCGGAATGGTTTCAAGGCTATCGAACATTGCATTTTTGAAGTACCTACTACGATCGGTTTTCATGTCAAGCGCTTTTGCCAATCTCTTTAATAAATCGTAAAATTTGACAATCACCGCGGGAAAATGGATGCTACTGAGCTTTTCCAAATATTTGCTGTAGCACACGTCCAATGATTTGGAAGTGTTGTGGGTTTCAAAATCGTCTTTTTCGCACCACATACACAATACGGCACTAGAATGCAAAAAATAACATGAAAATTAGTCAAAAATAAGACATTCTATCACAAAAATAAATCAGTCGTCAGATTCACCTGGCATGAAAGTCATGATTGATGACCATGAGCTCCAGCACCACCAAATAAGGACCAATCAATTGGCAATACTTGCATTTCAACACTTTGTCATTAACTTCTGCTGCGTTCCGGTATTTGATGTACTTGAACGAAGCAAATGAATGCACGTTCAGCAATTGCCTCATCAGTTTTGGCATCGCCACTATCTCCTTATCCTGATAAAATCCCGAATTTTCTAATTGATAATCCAGAATGCACATCATTTTCAAAGCGTTTGAATTGTATTTTTCGCTTGATGCATTGACGATCGATGCAATTGGACGACCGCTCAAATGCTCTAACATTTTGGAATTCATCTTTGGTAACGGATTTTGATGACGAATTTCAGACGAAACTAAAAATTAACAATCTTCTATCAACACACACCCTGTTCACTTTATTTAATTCCAATTGATTACTCATTGACTTACCGAGTAATTTTCACTTTGGGATATTTCTATTCAGTAAAGTTGAATTGGTTGAATGCTCGTTCTTGCGTCCGGTCGTTGTGATAAACTAACTCCAAATATGATTATAACGAAGAAATCAAAATGGCTCGCGGTGTAACAGTGTGGCGACGTTAGAATTTTGAAATCCTGCAATACAATGACATATACACATAAACTAATGTATTGCTGACCGTGCGCTCAACACACAAAGAATCGTACAGCTCCTTTCGCTACTGATGCCGACTTGCGATGTTATTGTGTTCTAATGAAATCAGCAACAGTATTAGTCTTCAATCTGTGTGCCGTGCTCATACAAAGTATCTGATTTAGTTTATTTATTTTCGTTTGGGAATTTTAGAACAGTGAGAAAGTTCTGCTTGAGACCATTATAAAAACAATAGTCCGTTGACAACATCGTATTTCTTCGAATTGCTTTATCCGTATTCGTCGATATCGGTATTTTCTATTGAACAAAACATTCAACCAAAATTTTGATTCTAATTTATGAGTTTGTAAACACAGAGCCACCGTTGGGTACAACACATTCAAGACTGCAAAGCTCTTGTGCAGCTAAGTTCTTCTGGTTCACTTCGAATTACGGCGCACATTGCTCATATACACTGAACTGTCAAATTGTGTGTGACAAATAGATCGTGTTTGCAAGCCGACCGTGAAACATAGCTTGGTGAATAATTTGTTTTGCGACACAATATTCGCCAGATTTTCAACTTTTTCTTCGAGTTTTCGATTAAATCAGGTAAGCAATTTGCAAATTCTCTTTTATTTATGTATATTTATTACGCACATGTGTGTAGAAATGATTGAATTGAGGGAATTGTAATTAGTGCAGTGTTGATAAAGACAGTAGAAATAATGAAAAATCGACATACATTTTCTTTCAGAACCGAGCATGGCGTTGCCAATTTCGGAATTCAGTTTTCCCTTGAAAATTCCGAACATCAGTGAAATTGTCGAAATCCGCTGAAATAATGATTCATAGCATTCCGTGGAAAGTTGTAGTTGATAAAGATTGCGAAGATCTGGACTTTTTTTTACATTGAACAAAAGAAGACAGTTCATCGCAGTGGTTTTATGTAGCACAAGCCACTGTTAAACTGTTGCCATTTGATGACGCTCAAAAAGCTGAAGAAATCCAAATGGAGCCATTAATTTTTTGCGAAACGAGAACAAAGGATTGGATGCGTTTAATTGGATTGGACGATTTGTTTGAGGTTGCTGATCCAAATGACGCAAAAAGAAGCATTATGACAGTCGAACGACTGGAACGATTCGGCGAGGAAAGTGTTGCAGCCAAATTCAGACTAACCAATATCGATTGTTTGATGGCAGTGCAGACACCAATGTTAACGATGCAAAAGCATTCCTTGGGCTTTGATTATTTACAAAAGTCGTTCAGGTCATTTAAGTGTGGGACTTTTTGGAATCAAAAAGATTCACTGCAAAGTTCAGGTTTCATCGAAACTGGTTTCAACAAAGCCAGATGAAGCATCAAAAATATTCCTTGGGAACCGAAACAATTACAGCAATGTGTATTGGAAAATCGGTAAACTTGCAACATGGGATGAACTGTTTGACCTACAAAATGGTTTTGTCAATAACAATTCGGCTGTGATTGAAGTCGAAGTCAAAATAGGCGCGGGCGTACCAGATCATCAAACGCCTTCTATTGCCAAAAAGCGTCGGGCGGCTGATCCACTTCAAGCTGATGCAAATCTCGTTCGCTTGGAATGCGCGATTTGCTCGGAAAACTTCAAAGATCCAACGGCTTTATCAATTGATTGCGGTCACATCTTCTGCCGCATCAAAAGGATCATTCAAACTGGAAAAAACTGTCCATCATGCAGTGCAGAACTCGACTTGAACAAATTGCGTCTTGTTCACTTCCCAATGTAAGTTGAATGGAAATTGTATTTAGGGCAAATTGAATTTTACATAAAAATGCTAAGCAGAGGTATTGATCATTCATTTTTTTTATCCGATTTCCAGTGCAAAATGGAAGGGCCAACCAAACCTAGATGATGGATCCATCAAGTGACCAGGTAATCATCGAATTTTCTCCGAAAAAAAGTATTTTCGTAATTTCTGAATTCATACTTATATTTACTCTCTTTGTTAATTGAATAAGCAAAAAATCATCATTCACAAGAATCTTCATCGCAAAATTAGAATACAAATCGAAACACACAAGAATGAAAGTTTACAATTTAAGATTAAGTTCTACAATAAATATTAAAACAAACAATCTTGTAAAAAATATGATAGTTTATTGAATAAAAATGACGATAAAAATACAATAGTTTGATTTTTGGCTTAATCATATTTTGTGCCGATAAATTTGAAACGATAATTTGGATTTCGTATTAAGCTGCCTCACAGAGTAGTTCGTCCTTGGTATAGCCCATTGTCGAAGCGATGGAAGCGGAAAACTGTTCGTCTGATGTATGTAGGTATGACATTTCCAATGACAATTTGGACTGTTTCTTGGAGTGAGTCAAGAACAAAGAAGCTTCAAGCTGAGATTATGGCTATGGTGTGGTCAAATGCATGTTTGAATTGAACTAGCCAAAATGAGATCTAGACAGTGGCATATTGACTTAGGCCGCATCTATATCAATTGTTAGGAATTTCTTTCTGATTTACATGATTCAATTTGAATTTCTCCTTATACAATGTATACTGTACGTGTACATTTCATTGTTCATATTTTTGTGGTTTTCTCAAATAATTTTCCGGATATTTGAAAAGAATTTAGTTGTTGTGACATATTTTCCGCAGCATTGATTGAGTCCGTTCTGAGAAATGTGTGCATTGAACTTAGTTTTTCTAGCATCACAAAACAATTTAGTGTGAACATACGAATCGTGGCGAATGTTCCCGCACCGTCACATAGGGCTCAACAAATTGGAAAACATTGTGTTTGCATGCAAGATAAATCATGGTGCCGTTGCATTCTCAGGCTCGAATAAACTGCTTTTTTTTTTTTTTAATTTGCTGTTGTGTTTGATAATCGTTTTAGAAATTGAAAATAAGGAACTTCGCCTACAATGCCGTAAAATTAATGCCATAATTCGGAACATAAAGTGTCCGGAGAGACAAGATTCTAATACAAACAAAGCGGTCAGATTCGAATGTCAATTGAACAATGAAACAAACACTATTAAATAACCGAGATCTCAGTTTGATTGTTACGAAATGTATATATGAACGTTTATGTGAGATTGTATTGAACACCTGACTTTTCATGCAGTGCAGGAAACAGCGACAATTTCAAAGTGGCGAGCTGCTTTACAGTGTGTTTATATCGTAGTTTGGATTGTGACATTTTCTACAGATATTCAAAACAAACTTATTTTATAAACCAATCTGCTGTAGTCTATGAACGGAGAAATGCAAAAAAAAAAAATCAGCAGTGCGAACGCTTTCAAAGTTGGAAATAATGTGTGTGTGAGCTGCGTGTGACAACTGAACCGTACATGCAAACACTTGTCCGCTTGAATTAACAGAAAAGTGAACATTATAAGGATCGGCGTCTCTTCTGTTTCGAACTGTCATTCTGTGTAAGTATTTTTCGGCGCTCAAACTTATGTCATTTGCTGCACCGCGGTATTCGCACATTCTCTCTATATGGTATTGTGTTACATTACGCATTGAATTTTCTTCAGTTTTTCATTGCATTTATAAAATTCAAAACTTACCCAACGTAAATTCGAGTGAGCTCAAAATACATTGAAGTCTACATCAACATTAGACGTAACACTTTCATCAACATGGCAGAAGGGAAATTTGTGCAAACTAGAGCCGACTTTAATTTGTGTGTTGAAAACATCAGCAAGTTGAACGATTTCTCGTCACCACAGGTTATGGTTCAAGGAATTCCGTGGAATTTATACATCACGAAAAATATGATGGACAATGAGGAATGGCTGTCCGTTTATTTATACTGCAAAAATGGCGACACATCATGCAACTGGGCAGTTGCTGCATCAGTCACCATTCAATTGATTTCATCTCGTAACAAACTGAACACAATCGCAAAAGAAATAGCCCCTTTCTTTTTTGATTGCAAATCAAACCGTTTTGGTCTTCCACAGTTCATTAAAATCAAAGTCGTCGATCCAAATGATAAATACGTGAGCAAGCTACAGGTTGATTTCAATAAATGTTGCGATGAAAGCACTCGAACAACACTGAAGCTGACTGTCAATAATATTGAGAACCTCATGGCAGTGCGAACACCGGAATTCGTCTTACAAAATTTGCACTGGGACTTAACTGTTTTCAAGTATTCCAGTGGTCTGGGTCTTCGTTTATCCTGTAAGGAAATGCCTAGCTCACTAACGATAAAATACAAAGCTAAAGTGGACTTTAGAATTAAATCGTCAATCGCAGGAGTACAAGACATTGAAAAGACTGGAAACACAGAACTCATACCTGTTCCTTTCAATCTCAATATCTATAGGATTATATTATGGGACGAGCTCTTCAAACCAGAAAATGGATTCATCTTTGACAATTCCATTGCATTCGAAGTCAAAATCAAAGTGGATAAAATGGAGGGATCCACGAAAGTGAACAAACGCCGTGCATCAAACCCAGCCGAAGCTGAAACATTGGAATGCTCGATTTGCTTCGAAAGCATGAAAGGCCAAGAGGTATCATCAACGAACTGTGGTCATTTGTTTTGTTCGAAATGCATCGAAAAGATTATCTGAGCCCGCAGGCTCTACCCGACATGCAATACCAAACACAACCTTAACAAGCTGCGTCGTGTTTATTTGCCATTGTAAGTGAGAAAAACGACTTTGATTTTTACATTGATTCAACCACATTAAACGAACAGAACGTTAATAGGTTCCCCCTTTGTATTCACAGCGCAAAGAAAGACTAGATTTCATCGTATAATTCAACGAAAATCATTCTCTCGAATTCATGAAAAACTTCATCTGCAACAGCGGATGTCATCGATCCACCACTCTGAACAGCTGCAAATACATCGATTCACCAATCATTCTCAAAAAGTAAAAGTAAAATTGAATAATTTTGAAACCTTCAAAGTTATTGTCAATCGAATTAGCAAAGGAAATTATATTCATAAGAATCTTCTTGAAACTGAAGATCAATCGAAACAGAAGGAATTGAATACTTAAAATTCAAGTTTTATAGAAAAATTATAAAACAAATAATCTTGTGAAAAATGCAATAGTTTATCGAATAAAAATGCAATGGCTCTGTTATTTCTGGTAATTTGTCTGATCATGTCATGTGCCAATAAATTGGAAATTATGCTTTTAGATTTCATGTTTAGCTTGTTCTCTGAGTATATCATAATTGGTGAACCCCCTAGTAAATGTCGAAGCAATAAAAGCAGAAAACTATTCGACTTATGGATGGCATTTCTAATGATGATTTGGACTGTTTCTTTGTCCAGAACAGTGAAGCTTCGAGATAAGACGGTTGCGATGGCGTGTCAAAATACATTACGATCTAAAGCTGGTCGATATGTCACTGACTTGAACTGTGCATATATATGCACTATATGCATTTTACGACGACATTTCATAGCGATGTAGAATTTGGTCAGAAGAATTAAAAATAAGCGAGCATTTGTTTTCGACCTGTTAATTTACTTTGGAAAAGAAATTTCATTTGATTTGTTCAAACAAATGTTGTGTGTACACAAAATATCAAAATCAAACCTGCGTATGTAATAATAGTAAGATAAGGTGACGTTAACACTATGACTGTTCTTGGGGCATCCAGGGCCCCCAGCGAACTTTAAAGTTGAATAAAAGTACTAAACAGTGTATAAACCAACCGGAATAAGTCTCATTGTATAGATTGAACATTTCTCTACACGAATGAAAAAAAACATATGCATATGTGTGAGTATGTGTAAAATACAGCCTGCCGCAAAACATGTTACGCTGGATTGTTCTTGGGGGACTACAGGGCCCCATGGTTATTTTATATTATAACTGGAATATGATAAAAGATATCGAATTGGTGTCTATAACGAAGTTGTAGTGCTCAAGCTGCTCTACAACTTTGCCGAAGACACCAAGTTGTTATCTTTTATCAGTTTCGCGGAATACGCGAGAAACCGCAGAAAACCGCGAAAAAACGCGTTTTTTTCCTTATCATTTTTCACGGAACTGATAAGAGATAACGAAATAATGAATCGGAATAATTGTAGTACTCGACCAGAACTAAAACTTTGCCTTAGACACCATTGAACATTATTGAGAATTCCGAAGGATTATTTGGGATTAATTTTGTACTAGATTGCATTATTTGAATCATACAAGTCTAGTATTTCCCCCCTTGGTCTCTGAACACTTGAATGCTGGTTTCGCCATAAATTTGGCCGCAAATCGACATTTCTTCAATATGAAGAGCAAAAAATTGAAAAATGCATGTTCAAAATTGTCGAAAATGGCCTCTTACGATGTTCAAATGTTCATAGTCTCATGTTTTTTGCCAAAAATCTAGTAGTGCACCCAGGCAAAAACATCGAAATGTGGTGTGGCAAATTTCATATCCCAAATTAACTGGACTTCTTCAAGGTGTTGCAAGCGTTCCATGCTTCGCAGTACATTCACCCCGGGCTCAATGTCGAAGCAGAATAAGGTGCGTAATTGAGGGTTTAGTTCTAATACCGTTGGAAAGATGTTATCCCATGGGACGATGTCACGGCCACTGCCCCGACATACACAAAAATGCTCTAAATGCGGAAAGTGGTTCTCGATAATGCCGAATAAGTGATTTGTGATTAAAAAACAAATCATTTACTTACATGGGTACTTCTGGCCTCCTTAGTTAAGTATGTACGCCTACTATACCATAACAATCAGACACAGCGGAAATAACATTACTGTTATATTTTACTTTTTAAAATTATTCAATGTGAATGGCGTGAACGACGATGCATGATGCTGGTTAGTTGTTGACAGCAGCTCGCTGGTTGGATGGCCTCTGCAATGTTTCGGGTAACAGAAACCCAAACAAGTCACAGTGTCCTTGAAAATCATACAAGAAAACAATGAATGATATGAAAATAAAGCACTGCTCCTCACATGCAATTCAATCAATATATTATGAGCATTTACCTTTGATCAGGACACATTTGCAGCGGCAATGTCACGATGCCATGTCGTCTTGTGTACTCGTGGCTCACAACTTCCATCTCACCAGCTCGATTGACGTTCACGTATTCCAAAATTCCACTATCCCCATTTACTTGCCATGTTTTGTGGTAGATTGCTACATTTGGGAGTAAATCTGGATTTAATTGATCTGGATGTGGGACGTTATTGCCAACCGCTGGATTTCCGTTGCCCTCTTCCGCTTTTTTCTCGAGCAAAAACACCTTCAACTTCTCTTGCCTCATCTTTCGTTTGTTGACCTTGCACACGATCATTGATGGCAGCATTGCTCGTTCCGGTTGCGGCCGACAATCATGGCAGACTTTGAACCGATGTCGCCTCGTGCGTCGATCAAAACGGCCAAAGCACTTGGCGCTTGTTTGAGAAGTGAAATACTTGTCGAGCCCTCTGATCGTTTGTCTGGCGTACGTGCCCGAGGCGAATTTGAACTCCGAATAAAAGTATCAAAAACCGAAAAAAAATCACATTGAAATAGGTACCATTCGATAGCTTGAACCTTTAGCTATACACCAGTAAAATTCCATGTCCATATGTGTACGCATGTGTGAGATATTGCCTCCCACAGCACATGTGCGCCGTTCGTTTCTTGGGGCATACAACGCCCCAAGTGTATTTTTTCATGAAAACTGGACTGTGATATAACGAATTGATGTCTTCAGCGAAGTTGTAGTACTCGAGATCCTCTAGAAGACACTAAGTCTTCATTTACCCGCAGTAAAGTTTATCAGTAACGCGAAAAAATGATTAGAGAAATCTCGCGTTTTTCGCGCTTTTTCACCTAACTGATAAGAGATAACGAAATAAAGCATGTGGAAAATTGTAATACTCGAGGTCCTGTACAACTTGGGGCGCTGTACGTCCCATGAAACGAAGTTAAGGTGTAAACTAGAGTGATCCAAAAAAAAAGTTGTCCCTCATCCCAAAAGTCCGGCCAGTTTCGAAAAATATACCTCAAAAAAATAGGTTTTGTCTAAAAAAACGATATAATTATACGAATATTGGCTGGAAAAATTATTTTGGTCGAAATGTAGCGATCTAAAATGGCTTCCGAAATCGCTGTCATGAAAATTTTGATATGAGGCTTGTTATGGGTTTTTGTATGGTACCCATATCGTTTTTTTAGACAAAACCTATTTTTTTTTAGGTATATTTTTCGAAACTGGCCGGACTTTTGGGATGAGGGACAACTTTTTTTTTGGATCACTCTAGTGTAAACGCAACAATCGATCAGAAAGTTAAATGAACCAACTCTGGGGAAGTATAAAAGAAAAAGGTTGCGATAGGCAAAGTACCGGCCAAAGTTTAAACAAATAAAAGCTAGACTTTATTTTTACTTTAAAAGTTTATTCCGGAACAAAAGAATTCATTGATGTGCAATACAAAACATTCTTCTATGGAATTTTAAATTTAGATAACTTTTACATTTACGTACGCAAATGAATACTTAACAGAGCGTGTTTTGAGCTGACGTCAGTAGCACTAACTAACGTCAGCTGCTGATATCAGCTGCTGACGAGTATGCATTGCGTTCTTCCAACGCATTTGCAGTATAAAAACGAAAGGGTAAGCAATCGTAACATTGGAACGGAACATTAAAATAACGCAACGTTAAACAAAATAGCACAACGTTAGTTAGTGCTGCTGACGTCGGCTCAAAACACGCTCTGATACTTAACAAACAACCTTAAATACATCATTAGCTCCAGTCGAAAATGTCGTGACGTGAGTTTCGGTTGAGTAGAATTTTTTTCTGTGGGGTATCATTTTATAAATTTCGATGGAAATTGAAGTTTTGAAGAAATTGTTACAGATGCATTTTTTTTAAATATCAAAAAACTCGATTTCTCCGAAAAAAAACCCTGATATACCTGATACTTTTGAATAGAATATTCCAAATATTCAAAGTTTTTCGTGTGAAACAGTAGTTTCAGCTAAAGTATGAGGAAAAATGGTCGGAGTATGTGGAGAGTCAATATACTCACTTTGACAGTATGCTTTGTCAAACGAAGAGAAGAATCAATATTGTGGTGTTGTCCATTTGTTCCACACTGACTCTAATTTTTGCTTGTGACTCCATTATAAATTGCAAATGTGTTTTTAACATATAACCATCTCTTATTCGATTGATTTGGTTGTTTTTCTTCCATTTGTAAAGGAAATAAATTAGTTTTAACAACACTTTGAACAACATTTCAGGACAAAAATGTCAAAACGTACAGCAGACGATAACATCGCGGCCATAGGTGGACAGCCACCTATAAAAAAGGTGCAGTTTGAGCCACATTTAATTGGCCCAGTATCCACGTTGGAAGAACTGGATATTAAAGTGTTGCAATTCCAAAACAAAAAACTTGCTCAGGTATAAAATAGTTCAATTGTCTTAATTTTAACACTTCAACTAATGTTTGCTCTTTTTTATTGTACAGCGTATTGAGCAGCGGATTCGATGTGAAGGCGAACTGCGGCAGCGAATAGAACAATTGGAAAAACGACAAACTCAAGATGATGCAGTTCTGAATGTGGTCAATCGATACTGGGTGAGAGCTGGGTTAAAAATGAAGTGGTGGTGTTGATTTCTTGATTGATTTCTTTAGATTTGATTTCTTGATTTTATGATTTTTTTTTTAGGAAAGAGTTAGCGATTTTTTGGTTTTCGTTTTTCGTTCCGGTTATAATTTATGAAAATTACGAAGATGCTGAATATTAGGTTCTCATCCGATGGGTGTAAATAAAATCATCAAGTATTTATCCGGATCATCAAAGAAATCAATCACAAAATCAGAAAATCAAAACAAACAAAATCAATCAAGAAATCAAGAAATCAAGAAATCAAATTCAAAGAAA